GAGAGACGGGTTGCTTTACAACCCTTCCGATCCGAGTTCATCCACGGGACGACCTCGCTGATGCAGCCAGCCGGCGATTTGTCGGAGACTGGGCCAGGGAAATGGGAGATGGCCGAGAGAAGAAGACTTACTTCTCGTTTTCGCCTGTAGGCAATTGGTCTTCTCTCATTTACCCCGAAGCCATTCCCGAGCGTCTAGGAGTTTTGGCATATCTTTCGGATTTGGGCTTGATTCATGATGGTAAGTTTTACCTTCCAGATTCCTGTCCGCAGTATGTAATCTGACAAACTTTCAGACACTGGGGAGGGCCTCAGCATCGAGGAAGCCCAAGCCGAGCACGATGAGCTCCATGCTGCCTTGAACCCAGACGACAAGAGCAGTTTGGATCCTGACTCAAGGGCAACGAAGACCAAGAAGCTCGTTTCGCAGTGCATGCTTGAATGTATCAACCTCGATCGTGAGCTTGGGTTGAATATGCTCGCTGCCTTTCGCGATGTCTGGCTTGCTATCAGCGAGAAGAACAGCGACAAGGAGGCACAGACATTAGAAGAATATCTACAATACCGCAGTGACAACGGCGGTATGCTGTAAGCAAATCCTCTCCGAATCTCCGGTATCAATTCTAACCAGCTCCTAGAGTTTTCTGGCCCATGCTGCAATTCAGCTTAGGAATATCCCTCTCGGAAGCGGAGCATGAGCTCGTGCAGCCCATCATTGACGCGGCCACTGAAGGTCTTTTATTGGCGAATGACTACTTCAGCTGGGAGCGCGAACTGAGAGAACTCCAGTCTGGTCAATCCAAGAGGATTGTGAGCGCCGTGGAGCTGTTTGCCCGAACAATGGGACTTTCCGTTGAGGATGCCAAGGAGGCGGTCAAATCCAGGATCATCAAGTCAGAGAGTGATTTCTGTCAACGCCGCGATGATCTCTATACAGCTCGACCCAACATATCATTGAAGTTGAGAAGATGGATTGATTGCGCTGGCCTAGCGGTTTCAGGAAACCACTATTGGTGCTCTGCTTGTCCGAGACAAAACGCGTGGAAGAACGAAACACTTTCAAATGGCCAAAACGGCCATGGTCTGGATCAAATTCACAACGGAGACGGGTTCAAGACGGTGCCCATCGCTAATGAAACTGCTACCAAGCTTCAAAGCACCGACGTCAAGATTCTCTCGAACGGTGACGGGGGCAACGCCACCATCAACGGAAATGGTGTCAAAACTGTTGTCAATGGCAACGGAGTCAAAAGAAAACTCTCAGAGTACGGAATGGCAAGTCCAGAACAAGAGCCAATTGTTCCGAAAAAGAGAAGCATGGACGTAGATGTTTCGTGCCAAAAACACGACATTCAAACGGTCTCCCAGTACCCCCATTACAAACCGTCCAACCTGGCCATGGATGCGCCGGCAGCCTACATCTCAGGAATGCCTTCCAAAGGAGTTCGCGGCACCCTGATTGATGCTCTCAACACCTGGCTACACGTGCCTTCAGCAGCGGTCAAGACAATCACGTCAGTTGTAAATTTGTTGCACAATGCATCACTCATTTTGGACGACCTGGAAGACAACTCTCCACTCAGGCGGGGGCTCCCATCAGCCCACGTCATCTTCGGGCAAGCCCAGTCCATCAACAGCGCAAACTTCATGTTCGTTAGGGCAGTACAGGAAGTAGCTCAGAGTCTCAGCTCAGCTGCACTGACAGCAGTTCTTGAAGAGCTTGAAGGCCTCTACCTCGGGCAAAGCTGGGACCTGTACTGGAAGTTCAACCTGGCATGCCCTACCGAGGCCGAATACGTCAACATGATTGACCACAAGACCGGCGGCATGTTCAGGATGTTGCTACGGGTCATGCAGGCCGAGAGCCCAGCTACGGAGACACCAGGCCTCGACTTCGAGCGGCTAACCCTGCTCTTCGGGCGCTTCTTCCAGATCCGGGACGACTACATGAACTTCGGAGACTACGCGGCCCAAAAGGGTCTCTGCGAGGACCTGGACGAGGGCAAGTTCTCGTACCCCATTGTCTACTGCCTCGCAAACCACCCGGAATATCGCGGGCATATCCTTGGCGTGTTCAGGCAGCGACCGACGGTAGCCACGACTACCGCTTCTCCGCTTTCCAAAGAGAGCAAGGCGCATCTGGTGAGCTGCCTACGCAAGTGTGGAGCGTTTGAGAAGACGCTCGACTGCTTGCGGGACGTTGAGCGGGAGCTGGAGTCGGAAATCGACCAACTGGAGCGTTTGACAGGAGAAGCCAACCCCATGCTCCGCCTGTGCCTTGCAAAGCTAAGCACAAAGGGGATTGCCAAGTTGGGATAGACGAGTTGGATGGATCGAGGATTTGTGACACATGCCGTGTAACGGCCCCTCTATCGGTCATGTTCTTGTTGTCGAATGTCAATACAACGTTGATTTAGCGCTTACAGCATATATTTTTCGTTATCCTGTTGAGGAGTACCATCCTATCTTTCGCTTCGGCCAGAAATCTTTCGACGTGGCCCGTGAACGCCACAATGCTTCGCTTGCAAGATAAACCCGCAAATAGCTCTTGTAAATACACCACCGTCATTGGACCCATTTGCGCGGCGAAGGATGCGCCAACTTCAGAATCCTCCAGGGGTCGGGCCGTTGAAGAAAGGACTACTGCACGTTAGATCCTAATGACACCCATCTGCATCGCATGGAAAGCAGTGAGATCCTCGTACCCCTGCAGGGTTACACACGGGGCGGGCCCGACTCCCGCTCCACCTCCATACATAGACACCCTGGCCTGGTAGGGCGAGACCGGTCTTTGCAAGAGAATGCGACTAGGACTCATGGGACGAACACATGTGGCGAAGGGCGTGAAGCTTACATGCAGGTGAGCAATCGAGTCCGTTGTCTACAGGAGAGCATCATGCCCAGTCTTCGAATGCATCTGCTGGGATCTGGACCGGGCGGCTTTCGACCATGACCTCTTCCTGCCTACTTAAGCCTGAGAATCGTGAGCTGGAATAATGGGCAAGTAATCAGAAGCAGATTCTTCTGGGAAGAAGCAGGCAGCCAGATTCCGACATTACGCCCACACTACACCCAATATCATTGGCTCAACTGTCGTCATTCTCCGGTGTTCAGACTTCTTGGTTCTACCGTGTCAGACCAAACGACAATGCGCCAATCATCGACCTTGACTTGGACTTGCGTCCTCCTTGCTCCCCTTGCAGCGAGTAAAAGCCTCATAGCAGACTACAATTCATGCCAGAGTGCGGTACGTACAGCTACACCGTCAAGACAGTCAGTCACACTCCCCTGACACCGATAGTGCGTCTCGCTATCTAGTCAGCTATCCGTCGAGTCGGGTGGCGACTACATTGCAGAGTTCGAGCAGCAGCCTATCACTGGGCCGGGAGTCGACGTCGGATCTCTGTACTGGTCGCAGCAGCAGCAGGCCGTCCGGCCGGCCTGCCTTGTCCACGCCCGTGGGGCCCAGGACGTCGCACTCGTGGTGCAGACATCGCGCTCCACGGGGTGCCCCTTTGCCGTCCGCGGGGGTGGCCACTCGGACATTCCCGGGTTCAGTAATAGTCATGGTGGGATCACCGTCAACATGGCCGGCTTAGGCAATATCGAAGTGGACGCGAGTGCCGGTGTAGCTCGAATCGGCGCAGGCGCAAAGTGGGGGGCAGTCTTCAAGGAGCTTGATAAGACGAATAAGACTGTTGTTGGGGGCCGACTGACTGGGGTTGGCGTTGGAGGATTACTTCTGGGCGGTGGGCTTAGCCACTTATCTGGACTCCATGGGTTGGCGTGCGACAACGTTCGCAACTACGAGGTAAGTCGGGACCGGGATCGCAATGCGAGAACCCACGTTTGCCACACGAGAAGCTGACGTGATACCAGATTGTCCTTGCCAATGGCAGCATCTTCGACGTCTCGCACTCCACCCACCCGGATCTCTATCGAGCGCTTCGCGGTGGTGGCAACAACTTTGGAGTCGTGACCCGTTTCGATCTAGATTTGTATGATCAAGGTCCCATGTGGGGTGGCCTGCACGTCTGGCCGTTGTTACCATCCGTGACATCGGCCATCACGTCAGCCTTCGTAGAATTCGGACACGACGCCCCTTCAGACAAGCATGTCTCACTGTTTGCAGGCCTTGGGTTTATGCAGGGCAACTTCGCCTGGGCCGTGGGGCAGTATGACACGCTCGGAAGAGAGGAACCTCCCATCTTTTCCAAGTTCAGAGACGATGCCGAGACATATGGAGCTCCCAAGGTTGTCACGACGGCAAGGGTCACGTCGCTATCGGACCTTGCTGAAGAGCTGAATCTTTCAGAGCCCGCGGGCAAGCGGAGCCGGTTCACGACAGCCACCTTCAGGATGGATGAGGATCTGCTTCGACTGATGGTCGGCTACTTTGTGGAAGAGGTCGAAAGGGCTCTGGAGAATGGGTTACGTGAAGACGAACGCTTTGCGCCAATGTTGGGCATCCAACCCCTGACGAAGAACATCATCGGGGCACAATTCAAGCGCGGAGGAAATGTGATGGGTCTCGATGAAGAATCTGGACCGCTCATTGGTAAGTTCAATCTCTTCTACCATAACGGAGATGTTACTTGCAGGCTGATGCGTGTGACTTCCAGTCTGTTCTTTTGGCTGGGAATGGTCTCGTGAGGCAGACGATGCTGTCGTGATTACCGGCATCAAGAGCGTTCTTGAGAAATCCGTAACCGCGGCGAAGGAAAAGGGTTTGTATCATCCTTTCAAGTACATGAACTATGCTGCGGAAGACCAGGATCCTGTCGCAAGCTATGGAGCTGAAAACGTTGAGTTCTTGAAGAAGGTCAGACACATCTACGACAGCGAAGGACTGTTCACGGAGTTAGTGCCTGGTGGCCACAAGATCAAATGATGATTTTTCCGGGGGCTAGAATTATTGCATATAGTCTATGAACATTACAAAAATCCCCATATATACAAGAATACCCCAAATTGCCCGGTTATGAATGTGGTCAACCAGATTCAACCCCTATTTTCGACCATGGTGTTCAGCATATGATAAGTGGGTGACATTGGTAGCGCCGGAAAAGCGGTCACAAGTCCAGGTGCGACCAAATCGTTCACAAATCCTGTACCGAGTATGGTCAAAGCAAGAAAAGTCCACACGAGTCCAACAACACGCCACCAGGATCCACGCCATCCGAGTTTCTCCTGAGCAAAACGAATGACCAGATCTTCCAAGAGCAAGATGTTCGGCATCAGAAAAAAGAAGGTGAGAGTTCTTGCGAAAGACTCAAATGGAGCTGCCATCTTTGCTGCCGCCCAGTGGTACAGTCCAGACAGGGCGAATGCAAAGTACGATTGGGTTTGACGACTGAGCATAGACCCTCTAGGTGCTCTGACGACTCTCCTAGCCACGAATCTGCTAGGGATTTGCAGGCCCCTTCGAAAGTTCTGATGCCACGTGCGGTTCCAGAACCTGCTCAGGGTGTAGCACTCGACCCAAGGTCCGTTTACCGGGTGGACGTCTTCGATGCGCGTCCAAAAAAGCCCGGACGACACCCCAATCAAACAAGCGATGTGATATCCGATATCCATCACGGCAATTGACGAGGCCCACCAGCAGGCTGTAGCGATGCAACGGGGGACAAAGTCTAACTCAACGACGCTCATTTTCCCATCATGAGTCAGCCACAGAAGAAGACCGGCAGCAATATCATGGCTCATGTATTGCTGTAGTATTCTTTGCATCGATAGCCTGAAGAAGGCGGTCTTGGAGGTGCCTGGGGCAGGAGCTGGAGGTAGAGGTGCAGTCCGCCAGTTCCATCCAATACCTCTGGTGGAAAAGGCATTGTCAAAACACCATCTTATCCGGTCCCAAGCACCGAGAGAGTGGAAAGACTGTTGAGGTTTCTTCCCATCGCTTGTGGGTTGTGTCCACTTGTGCTCCAGGTAAGGGTCTTCGAGCACAAGAAGATTGAAGTTGACCAACGCGACGTAAAAGACTAAGAGACAATGCTGTTAGAATATCAGCTCGATAAAACGTTCTGTTTGGTGCCCAACCTGTCCCAAAGGTGTAATTCTTTGCAATATCCGGGCCAAAGGGAAAAACAAAAGCCACAAGCAGACAACCCCCCACGAAAGGGAGCAGAAGGATCCAGCGCAAGTGTCTCGGGGTTTTTGAGCCCAACAAGACCAGAATAGGGGTAGTGAGCCATATGGCACCAACGAAGTCGGCACGTTCCAGAGGCATTGCGACGAGCTTGGACAATGTGACAGGCTGCCTAAGTTGGTAGTACAGTACAAATGTAATGTTTGATGGTATCCGAGAACACAATTGTTGCTATCTGACTTTGAACGATTATCCCTTACGTTCTAAGGAAAGAATTCAGCCCAGTCTCCCTAGCCAGCTGGTGCGCTTCCCACTCGGTATCTCGGCAACTAGTTTCATCGATTCTCAGCTTGAATACGGGGCATCTGACATGGCGAGAGATGCAGCCCAAAACCAAACATACGATGTCGTTACCTGACGCAGATTAGCTGCTGACTGTAGGCCATATGGGACGACGTTGATAAGGCACTACGACCCTCGGGGGAAAGATTCCGGGCAAGACGGCACCAATAGTGCGGGCCGCCCGCACTATTGACATGCCTGCCTAATCGGGGAACGTTACAATGCAACGCCGACGACGCAGGCCCACGCCGTCAGCGGGCTCCACAAACCCGAATCCTTCCGTGTGGGATTGTGGAGCAGACGGATCGGCCCAGCCCACTGCATCCACCTGCAGATGGCGCCCCCCCCCCCCCCCCCCCCCCCCCCCCCACCGCCCCCCCCCCCCCCCCGGGGCCCCCAACCCCCACACCCTCCCGGGGGGGTTGGGGGGGAGACGGGCCCCCCCCCCCCCCCCCCCCCCCCCCCGATGGGGCCCCCCCCCCCCCCCCCCAACCGACGTAGGTCTCCATCCTACTTCGCAAACACCTCAGTGCCGTGTAAATAGCATCTCCATAAACTCAATACACCTTGCCTTACCTTAGATTTCTCTGCGTTAGGGCTTACTAAGGGCTCAGTTGCAGCTCTAGCAGCAAGCCTCGGCCTTATCAGGCGGTTAGGGTCAGTTACCGACGAATCCTGGGGCTTGTAGTCGGCGCTGACGAGCATTTTCTCTATTATCAAGCCCTGTGTACAAGGGTAAACCCCCATTTTGAGACTTGTCAGATTTCTACGCAATCTCGGCCCCGGCTTATGTGAGACAATCCTGGGCTACATGCTTCGACTTGCTGTGGGGTTTTGGTCCCAGCATTCAAGCTAAACACGTGAACGGGTCCAAGACGAGCTTGCTATGAACCTAAGACGACTCTTTGTTGAGCGACAAAAGCTTGCAGCATGTCGCCGTGGCTGGATACCATTTCCGTTCCATAGGGCTCCCCAGCTGCTGTTTGTCTCTTCTGAACAACGAAGATTGAGCCACCATGTCGATATTCGTCGTTCCTGTCGAGACGGCCAGGCCATTGGGGGTGCTGGCGGCAGCGGCTCTGATCGTGTTCCCTATCATCTACTTTCTCTACCTTACTGTTTACCGCCTTTTCCTCAGTCCAATCTCTCACTTTCCGGGCCCAAAGCTAGCAGCATGGACATACTGGTATGAATTCTGGTACGATGTAGTTGCCGAGCCCGAGTACACCTTCAAAATTGGTAGATTGCACAAGCAGTATGGTCGGTGTTCATCTTTGCCAACGTGACAATCAAAGGAGTCAAATTGAACTAATACCCAACCAGGCCCTATAGTCCGTATCAATCCCGACGAGATTCACATCGCGGATCCGGACTTTTACAACACCATCTACGCTGGCAGCGGACGCAAGCGTGACAAATGGGACTGGATCACCCGGTCTTTCGGCGTCGACGAGAGCTTGATCGGTACTCTTGGCCACGATGAGCACCGCATCCGCAGGGCGGCGCTGTCGCCGTACTTCTCCAAGCAAAGCGTTCGCGCTCTGCAACCACTGGTGGACCGGAACATGGGAATCCTCCTCGGACGCCTCCGCGAGTTTGCCCAGTCCGGAGCCCCTCTGAAGCTTGATGATGCCTATGCTGCACTTACCAACGGTCAGAACCCTCAAACAAATGCCGAGAAAGGATTTGCGTACTAAGACCAAATCTTCAGATATCGTGGAGGACTATGCTTTTGGAAAAAGCGAGAACCGACTCCAGGCCGCTGACTTTGATCCATCATTCAGAGATGCCATGCTTCAGGGCGGCAAAGCCGGCCATGTTCTGAAGCACTTTCCCTCGCTGATGGACCTGCTGCGCAAGCTGCCAGACTCCCTGCTGCTCAAGCTGAGCCCGGCCATGGGCGCCTACTCCCAGCTTCAGACCAGTGTGAAGAAACAGGTGGCCGACATCACTCAAGCCCACCAAATGCACGCGTACGACAAGACGCGCCGCACCATCTTCCACGAGATCCTAAACAGCAAGCTCTCCGACTACGACAAGTCCACGGACCGGCTCTGGCAGGAGGGCGAAGTCGTCGTCGCGGCGGGCACCATCACTACGGCCTGGGCGCTCGGCGTCTCGACGTACTTCGTCCTTGCCACGCCCGAAATACTCTCGCGCCTCAAAGCCGAGCTCGAGGCCGCGATCCCCGATCCATCGCAGCCCCTCAGCTTGCTCGTGCTCGAGCGTCTTCCCTTCCTGGCGGGCGTGGTGCAGGAGGGCGTCCGTCTCAGCCATGCCATCTCGCACCGGCTGCACCGCATCTGCCCGGACGAGACGCTCGTATACCGCGCCGGCGATCGCGAATGGCGTATACCTCCCGGTACTCCCCTCAGTATGACCAGCAACCTGGTGCACCACGATGAGCGTGTCTTCCCTGACTCTCACACCTTCAAGCCTGAGCGCTGGGTTAACGACCCCTTGCTGGACCGCTATCTAGTGTCCTTCGGCAAGGGTGGCAGAGCTTGCCTAGGTATCAATCTGGCATATGCGGAGCTCTACCTCACGCTGGCGGCACTATTCAGGGTTTATGGGTCGGAGGAGGTTCAAGGGAAAGATGATCTCGGAACCTTGAAGCTCTTTGAGACGACCGCTGCTGATCTCGTGATCACGAGCGATACCGTGGTTCCTGTGATGCCGGAGGATTCCAAGGGGTTGAGAGTAACGGTACATGAGCGACCTGAGTAGGTGTCAGCGGTATCTTGGACTCTTAGTTCTATTTCTTGGTCGTGACAGGGTATCGAGTAATTTTACCAACCTCATGAGTTGTTCCGGATCATGTAGAAAGTAGCCTGGTAGAGAAGTCTCCAAAATAACGGAAAGACTAACACTCTGATTACGGAGATGACTACCCTTGCGAAGTCATGGACTTGCACGCGCACATCATCGAATATGCCTTTCTAGTCAAGACATGTTTGTTGCTCTCTGTCATTGAATCCTTTCATACGACCAGACCTGGTCCTGTGGGGAGTACAGTATTTGAATGATGCTGGGTATCTGTGAGGTAATTCCTATACTTTAATGCTGTGCACTAACCAGTCGTCAGATTTTGAGTTGTGACACGTCTGACATGAAGACTTGACAAGCTGATGGATTCGAGGAGGTTTGCGGAAGGGTGCATGATCATTACATGCACGGACAAACGCCACTACTATCCACGAGAATCGACCTGTCTGCACTTAGAACGGAGACTCGAAATGTAATACCATTGTCGAATTATCGATGATGTTAAGCTTGCTAAATCAAAGTTCGAAATGTGGTGGAAAGCATGCGAAGTCAAGGCGAGACCGCGACAAACCAAAGAACGTTTCAACTATCACTTGCAACCATAAGCCTTGCACCCTTTAACACACCCGACATCGTCTAAACTCGCACAATCAGACTTCGGGTCGCACATATTTCGTGATCCGAACCCCCGGTTCCTCGCAGTCTAGCACTACCGCCCATTGCCACCGCACGCCTTGTAGCATGATCCCCTCGAGCACCCATACTCGCCAGGATCGACGTCACAGCTATTGTGCCAGCCGCGATGATGCCACCACGAGCGGCTAATGGTAAGGATTCCCTCCTCATGCTCGTCCGTAGTCCCTGCGCCTTGCGTCTGCGTCTGCGGGCGGGGTCCGACGGCTTGCCCGGATCGAGGGTTCAGGCCAAGGGGTGCTTCACGAAGCCGCGAACCTGGACGGCGTCGACGCCGCTGGTGTCGAGGGAGGCGGCAGTGTATGTAACCCCCCGAGGCTTCCACATTTTTCAGCTATGGTGGCGAGTGCTACACGGGCGAGATAAGGGTGGCAAAGAGGAGGAGCGCGGAAGGCTTCATGGTCTCGAGATGGTCGAGTGTTTTTCGAAATAAGGGTTTCGGGGATTCCGGGTACGAAAGTGATGCCACGTGGGTTTTAGGCTTTAAAGCAACGAGAAATCTAAGATAGTTGTTATAACAATCCGGATAATAAGATAGAAGGTAGCGTGCACGTGATGATGTTGGCTTCTCAGATTAAGACGAGAGGATGGTGTGGACATTGAGCTTACCAGTAGCTGTCGATCTGGGAAGGCTAGCTATTATTTACACTTGTGAGTTCAGCCTTTCCTCAAGTACAAACGCCCGAACCCAATGTTATTCGTCCGTCCTTGGCTTCCACTTCTGATAAAGTTATATTCCCAGTGAGCTCAGTCTTCGAGAGTTGAGGCAATCTCCAAATGCTACCACGAGTACTACGAAGGGTTGCCCGAGCGATGAAACATGGCTGGTGCTATCGCAGTGCACTTGGAATTAATCTTGTTGTATCGAACGAGTCATATTCTTAATTCAGTAGAAGAATGAAGTACTTAAAGCAATCGACGGAGGGCTTGATCTGCTGCACGGGCAAAGCATCTACCGACCAGTTCCAACCCAAAATATCGAATGTGCTCGAGTCCAGCTTTGACTATACAAGGTCCAAATCTGGGCACTCGTTTGGGTCGGCATAAAAGACTCCCCCCATCATCTCAATCGCCCGACACTTTTCGTCCATCGTGAAGGCGTTTCTGATGCCAAACGAGTGGACTTTGTCCGTGGACACCTTCAATGCCCAGACTCCACCGGTTGTCGGCCATCCAAAAACCTTGATGAACTTCTCGGCGGCCTTATTGGCCTCTTCAGCCGCGAAGAAATTATCTTTGCCAAGCTCCATCGCTTTTTGATAGCGATCCTGAAGATCCTCGTGTGTGGTGGTCTTGAGATAGTAATCCCAATCGCTTTGGTAAAACCTGGCACCGAGTTTGCGCATGTTGATACAGTGAGTATCCTCCTCCGCTGGATCATCGCTCCGCGGTGTTGGGACGAGGCGGTCAACGCCAAGGAACTCGAGGTCTACGCCGTCGCATTGCAACATATAGAAGCCTCCAGTGCTAGGCCACCCATAAACCATCGTGTAGGATGGATAGAAGTTGGAACGGAATCGTGCATTATCGATAGAAGGCTCCATCTGGAAGCTCTCAGGGTCATCGCCGGCATCATCATCCGTAACCTCAAAGTCGGGGATGTTGTTGGTCCGCATGGAGGCCAAGCCTGGTTGACTCGCCGCAGCTGCGGAGGACCTGAATAGGCTCCCCGCAAAGAACATGATTACGGCAAGAAAAATGGATGGCGAGATTATCATGTTGAAAAGGATGTGTTCAGATCCAAGTAGAATGGTGTGTGGTTGCGGTTGCCTGTTGGCACATAATTAGCATGCAAATCGTGGTTCAACGCGCTGCGGGCGGCTCACCATGTCCCAGCGATGACTTTATTAGGAAGGTGTCAGCCAAGAGCGGAACCTGTTGGGTAGGTTGGCACTTGAACATGAGCTGCCCACAAAGCTAGACCTTTACTGGCGGGTGTCAGGCTTGCCAAGCTGGTCTTCAGCGGTTGTTGGTTCTGAAATGTCTGTTGGTTGTCAACACGAGCTAGACAACCCCTGCAATGTCAAGAGTCTACAGCTCCAACAATGATGTTGCCTTTCTTAACAACGAATTAACGCTTCAGGACACGAGCATGTCACATTTTGGGTTGGTTGATGCCCATGACAAAAGTCTTAAAATGCTGGGGTGTTTGATGAGGCTTTTCTCCACATCCACAACCACAGCCTGCATGAGCCCCGTACAAAGGATGAATCATGAGACTTTCTGCTTCTTTCGCCATTACCGATCAATCCGTTCGCACAACTGGAAGTTTCGCGCCAATATCTCGAACATGGGCGCTAGTAGTACCAAGGATTAGATTTAAGTGACCATGTACTCGATAGAGAAATGATGCCGATACGAGCGGTGACGGCGGCTAAGGAAAAGAGAAGTTTCCTCATGCTGGACAGGACATGGGCGTCGGAGAGGTTACCACGATTTCATGTATAAAACCATGATCGACTTGATGTTATGACTGACTGTGGCTTCCCACGTGAACCAAGTGCGTTTCTCAGAATACTCGTGTGCTCTGTTCAGTTTCAATTCCCGAAATCCGTCAGAACGATGATGGTAGCCCACCCAGCAAGAATTGCCCTTTGCGGCTATTCTTTAGCTACTGCTGTGACAGCGGCAGCTCTTCACCCAACCCCGCTCGAACATCGGGATCTGACCGTTGCTGAGGCTGAAAATCATTTCCACGATGCTCTAGCAACGAGTGAGTACGACATGTCCCTATTTGACGGCAATATTACCGATCTCTCAACCAGACTTGTTGGCTGGAACGGATGTGATGAGAAAGAGATACCCATGATTTATTCTGGCTGGCAGCAGTCCTGGAAGATCATGAATTTGCTGTACTCAGAGGCTTCCACAATGAACTTCAATGAAGCAGCGGCCGTCGAATACCTTGGACCCCCTTCTTTAGATGCCCGTGCAACAGCCGATCAACGAAAGTGGCGTACACAACCAATTATGATCCCATGTACGGGATTGCACGAATCAACTTCTGTCCTCGTTACTTCGCCCAAGGTGATTTAAGCGATGTGATCAAGAACGGAAACGACAAGAGCCTTGGGCCTCTGTGGTACGCGAATCTCGATAACTACCTACCCAACAAAGGCGAGTTACAGTGCAGCTTGCTATAACAATGAATCTCCTTCAATGATTTTTATCCTTTTCCTAACTTAGGTGTGTGATAGCCAGGACATGGATCCATGAGCTTTTACACATTGACTGGGTGTCCAAAGCCAATCAGTACGGCTCCAATACCCACGTTACAGACCTCAAGATGTGGGTACCAAAGGAAGGGGAGTCTCCACCTGCCTACCAGCTTCTGCAGATCTACAGCCCGAAGATGGCAAAGACTCTTGCGAGATACAAATACGACACAGGCCATTGGATCGCCCAGAGCTGCGAGAATCTGACGTTGTATGCCATGGCAAGATATGTGCAAAAGGCGCTAGGAAATGTTTATCCTCACCTACCTCTCGCCCCAGAACCCCCCTCGAGCCCACCCACGGAAGGAGTCGAACCCGCGTTTACAGTTGGTGATCTTTTTACCATGCATTCCGACGGAACGGTCACCATCATTAATTCCACCGCTGTGGGTGATCTGACATGGGACCCCCAGTGTCCCTCTGGCGAGGAGATAGAAGCGGGTGCTGATGCCGAAGAGCTCTTCCTCGGAGCTGATGTCGTAACTGAGGCCGATTTGCCGCAGGAGTACTTGAAAAAATACAGGACCTGGACTGGTACAGAAATTGGTGACAAGTTGACCTTCAAAGGTGTAGCTCCAGGTCAGGCGGTCAAGCCAGGGACCAAGCTACGCATTCTCGGCGTGGGAGACTCCATCACTGTTGGATTCCTCAGCGAGAGGGATGGAGGCGACGGTAACGGCTACAGACTAAAGCTGCAACAAGACTTGTCAAGTAAGTAACCACCCCTGGCTACTTCACATACTGTCTTACGACGTTGTTTGCTGACAACCGAATTCACTATCACCAGAGGATGAAGTTGTCTTCGTGGGGACTGAGTCTGCTGGAGGCACGATGTCTGGTGGATATTTTGTAAGCCACGAAACTTGGGAACCTCCAAACACTGAGCCTTGCTGAACGAAATCTCATCAACAGGCTGCATGGTCAGGCCAGACGATCCAGTACATCTCGGAACACGTTAGCAGCTCATTAGAGCAACGGCCGAATATTATCCTTGTGCACGCCGGCACAAACGACATGAATCCTAACCTTAATATTGCTAAGCAAGGCAATGATCCGAGCAGAGCGGCTAGTCGGCTTGGCAAGCTTATCGATCAGATTGTGGACGCTTGCCCGGACGCCGTCGTCCTTGTGGCTATGATCATCAGTACTTGTGAAGAAGCCCAGCAGGTGAATACAGCTCAGTACCAGGCTCTCATTCCGGGCATCGTGCAGTCTCGTCGAGCCATTGGCAAGCACGTTCTCGCGATCGATTTCACTACTTTCCCTACAGGATCTCTTCGGGACTGCATTCACCCAACAAATCAAGGCTACCGGGACTTTGGCGATTACTGGTATGACTTCATCTCTCAGATCCCTTCCGATTGGATCCGCCAACCTGTGGGCGACGACCCAGACCGACCGACACTACCCGGCATCGATGCGAACGGCGGCTTAGATGGGGCTATCCCGTCTCCGAGCTGGGGAATCAACCCGATCCAGGTGAGCTCGAGAAGCAGCGTTCGGACGGCTGCTCTTCTCGGTGGGAGCGGCGGGGAGCGCACTTGCAAGGGCGGGCCAGTGTGGCGAGCCACAGGCATGATCGCATCCGGCTTTGGAAAAGCTGGCGGCTGGCAATATCGCAAAAACTGGATCGAAGCGGGCAAAGTCGCTGATGGACTCAAATTAGACTCCAAATTCGTTCGGTATGTCACTGGACCATCAAAACTTCTCGCTGGAGTGTTTAATTGACCGTTGAGCTCTCGCAGACTGCATGATATGAATGGAGATGGGAAAGCAGGTAAGTCACTGCTGCCGTTCAAGAGACGCTTTGGGCTCTGTCTGACTTGACAATCGTTTCGTACAGACTACATATGGCTCAATCCTGAAAATGGAGAGATACGATGTTGGATCAACAACCTTCCCGCCCCGTGGTCTCCAGCAGGGACGAACAATAGCATCATCGGCAGTGATGCCGGTGTTGCAGAGTCTGTTTTCTTGGCGGTATGTCATTCATGACGAATTCTTTCTTGCAACCAGCCTCAAAAATGAAGATTCGCTAACGGCTTATAGGATATGAACGGTGATGGCGTATGTTTCCAATCTAATCAGACTCACTTATGTCTCTTTATGCGTCCTAAATCAACCTCTGCTAACCAAACTTATAATTAACTAGCTCGAGGATTACATGATCGTCAACCCGCAAAATGGAGCAGTGAAGATCTGGTGGAACTATGGAGCAGACGAGTCCTGGGTCAATGGATGGAAGTTTATTGACGGAGGTCAAATAGCATCTGGTGTTCCTCATGCTAACTGGGCCACACTCCGATTCCCGGACATCAACGGCGATGGTCGCGCGGACTACGTGTATATTGGAGCTGGCGGGTCTCTCTCCCATTGGATGAACACAGGGACTGCAGGAGGGCAAGATGTGGTCTTCTATTTTCAAGGGGGCATTGCTACTGGTGGCACATCTGATATCTCAAATCTTGTGTTCGCCGACGTAAGTTCTACACGGGTTATTTCCTCACTCCTTTGTGCTTTTCTCTCACGGACTAACGAACACGGCCTGTAATTAGGTGGATGGCGATGGCCGCGACGACTACCTCATTTGGGACGCCGGCAGGTCTCACAGGCTTTTTGAACCAGCCAACGAGAAGAGAAGGAGTGCCACTTTACGTCAATCAGGGGCAGGCGAAAACGATTGCAGATTGTATCACGCAAGATCCGAAGAACATTAGACTGGCTGACATGGATGGGTGAGTTGCACTGAGTTGATACTGCTTCATTCGACTCGACGAAGCTGGCCATCTTTGCTGACTTCTCTTGTCCTGGTCCCAGAGACGGCAAAGATGACTACGCATACATTGACGACAACGGGGCTATCTGGCTGTGGTATAATCAGGGTGATGCCGACACATCCATGGTCATCGATGGCATTCGATTTGCCGATATTGACGGCGATGGGGTTAGTTTTCCCTTGTCTATCCTCTTCCGAAACGATAGTCACTGAAACTAGAACCTAATCTTGGCTCACTATTTTACAGATTGAAGACTATGTTTGGCTTCATCTAGACACCGGGGCACCGACCGTTTTGTGAGTTTCATCTATCCAATTTGGTCACCTGTGGCTATCAATGACTGAATTTGACTGACCTTAAGGTTTAAGCTTGAATAAGGGTCCCAATGATGATGATGCTCTGGGGTGGTTATGGAGTCCAGTCAAGAATGGAAATCCAATCGCGTCAGGAGCTGGTCCAGGAAACACTGTTCACTTTGGAGACATTAATGGGCAAGTTTTGTGCTTCCTTGTGTTTAATTGCAATACGGCTATGGTATTCAAGTCAAACTAACATTCCAAAAAGTGATGGAAAAGACGATTATTTGGTCCTTGACCCGAAAACAGGAGAACTACACGCGTATTTGAACAAGGGGCCCGATGAATCCAAGGCAGAGAAGTGGCTTTGGGACCCTGTCGGATCGATCGCCACCGGCCTGGGACCCGGCGCGAATGTGCGCTTCGCTGACATCGATGGCGACGGCTATGATGATTACATATTTCTCAAGTCGAATGGTGGAATAACAATTTACAGAAACGTCTGGGAAACTAACAAGCCGCCATCAAGTTGGCGACCACTGCCGGAGGCTGACGCTTCAGGCATTGGGCAGAGACCTGAAGAAATTGACTTTGTTGACGTTAATGGGTTAGTTCATGTCCGCCACTGGCTCTTTCCATGCTCTGCACGCCTGCTTCTTCCACACTCTTGAGATCATTCACTAACATGAAGAATTTTAGTGATGGAAAGGCCGACTATGTCTGGACACGTGCTCGCGATGGCGCCGCTAGGGTCTGGCTCAACAATTATCCCAATCAGCCGACCTGGCTCGAACAGCCTGAGATCGCCGGCGGCGTCGGGGTGTCTGGAAGTGATGTGAGGTACGCCATCCTTCAGAACACAGGTCGGGCCAGCTACGTCGCCGTCGACCGCACAAATGGCGCTATTGCCGCCTGGCTGAACAGTTGTACCCAGCTCGGCGACCATCCCCGTCCAAACGTCGTCTTCATTGGCCTCAGGGAGACGTTCACTGAGTCGGTTTTGGCTCGTTCTTGGATCATTTACGAGTCCGCAACAGGGAGCACTATTGATATCTGTGATGATGAGCCCAAGGGTGCCTTCGCGGCGGCCACCACTTCATCGAACCCAAAATTCCCCACGAATCTCGGCGAGTTTGATGTTCATGGTGTCGAAGGATGTGTGTACTCTGGTTCCCAGGATGAGCCAGGTAAGATGCAGTGCCCGGGCGTTAGCGGCATTCGATGCCGCCAGGATTCTCAGTATGACGAGGTGTTTCATTGCGGCTTGTCAAATTATAAGCCAAGGATTAGGTGCACTTGGTAGGATTCTGCTCGGTGTTTTTTCTTTCAGAAGTTGTTTCCCTAAGAAGCCAACATATTATCTTGTCTATTAGTTATTAAACATATTTCCTATTTGCGTTAGTTGCCTCATAGCTGTGCATCAAAAACCTTCTAAGCACGGTACGTTGTTGTTGGGAATGACCACGTTGGAGAGGACTGCATTGTTAAATAGGCATTTATTTTGAATGACATCCTTCTTCTGACCTTGGCTCTAATATTCGGCCTGGGAGACCCAGTCTACACTCTATGGTTGCTTGATATCGTTTCTTCCAGCATGTACTGCGGATCTAAACAGATAGAAACGATAAAACATGACTTAGAGATAGAAAGATTCCTCTGTGACTACTGGCCCGAATAGCGATGCTCCTATCCTGCAAGCTGCGACCTAATGAGAGGCTGCAACGTGCATCGCAAAGTGATTATTGGAATGATTCATGTTACGCCGATTGAAGAAATCTGATATGAGTACCTCCTAGGTGGATGAGACACTGTCTACAAGATTCACTCGGGTGGTCGTTATGTTTCGTCCGATGTCTTGTGATATCTCTTAGTCTTACTGCTCCTTTCAGTCTCAGCCTCAGTCCCACTCTCCACTCGCGACTGAATTCACTCAGAAGTACCCTCACTCGTACTTTCACTCACATAAACGCACTTTTACTACTGAGAATACACACAATTGAATTCGCAATGAATACTAAATCCGGCTGCTAATCGCACGCCACAAAGGCTATATGTGTGGATGGGTGCATATGCGGATGCCAGAGGGATTGCATGCTGACTTCGAACGCAAAAGTCCGCAGAACGATTACAGTCCACGTAGTTGACACGTGTGAAGGAACATACGGAAATATTGAATTGGATCGTCAGGCTAACCAAGAAGGCAGCTGCAGATCGCAAGGCGGTAATTAGCGTCAAAGTCGCACACGCCGAAGACACCAAAGCAGGGTCCGTCTTTCGACATACCCACAGGCTGCGGCATGACGGAAATGCTGAAACACAATACCTCAATGGAAGCAGGAGGACGCTTGAGATTCTCCGTCAGTCCGTCGGCTAAGCCAAAAGACGTTGCTCGCTTGCAGAAAAGTAGTTTGCCACAGAACATTTTAAACAATTCTTGATGCACAAAATTTACTGGGACACAGAATAACTTGAAAACCCTAATCTAGACCTCTGCAAAGCTCCAATATCGTCACAACTTTGGGCGTAAACTCCCGTCAGAACCTCTCACTCCTAGTGTCTCCCTCGCTTGTGCGTTCAACCTCCTCCACATATCCTTTCGACGCTCGTGACCTTGCATAAACCGTTCAAACCAGAACTTATTGAAAGGCAGCAGCTCTCGTCCTTTTCCGTCTGCCGTGGGTGGACCAGCGATTCTTCTCAACTCCTCAAAGTACTCTTCAAAGTCTGGAAATACGAGCGCAAACTTCGGCCCGTCGCCGCGTTTGGCTATACGGTCTACTTCCCAAGCGAGCTGAGCTTCCGTGGATGGGAGGCGAGAGGATGGGACGCGGCCTGCGAGCAGTCGTGCGGCGAGAACGGCTTGGTATTCGAAAATTTTGAACGTGAGGCCTGCGTTTACGGCACCGACGAAGAGAATCGTGGGATCTGGCGTGTAAATTGTGTGGAGATAGAGATTCGGGATGCGGTTGTTGCGAGGGGTAGGAACTGGTGTGTGCTTGGCCGTGGTCGAAGAGGTGGAGGACTGCGGCGTGAAGAAAGGAAGTGTCCAACTATAACCCGTGCCGAAAATGATGTCGTCTACACCAGGAGCAGACATTCCATCTACGAAGTGAACAGTCCGAGTGGTCGGTTCGATGTGAGATATGGAGGCGACCCGCTTGATCAGGGGGTGGTTGAAAGCCTCATCGCCAAAGTACCCGTTGAACGTATGTCCCTTCACCACAGCGTATACAGGTGCTTGAGCCACAGAGGTCAAATCAAATGCAGTGTCTCCTGCTGAGACAGAGGCTCCGACTACCACGACCTTTTTGCCCTTGAATGCGTCCCGACCTCGGAAGTGCTTGCTGTGAATCACACTTCCCGGACGATCTCTAGAAAACTCGGGCAGGCCGTCAATGGATGGGATATAGGGCACACTGTAATGCCCGGATGCGACAATGACGGCATCGAATCTCTCCTCCCACCAGTAATCAGTGTTCTCACCATCTTTGCGTAACGTCAACTTCCACTCCTCACCGAAGCCGCTTGCTGCAGGCACCTTCTCAGCTCGCTCCACGGTAGTATTGTAGCTGATGAAGTCACCGTAGCCCCTTCGGTCGACCAGAGAACGGACGTAGTCCTGGACTAGGTACCAGTGTCTGAAAGGCGTGTCTTCTCCGTGGAGTGATCTTGAGTGTTCGGATTGCTCAGTAGGAAACGGTTCTTGAGTATACTGCATAGGGACGAAGTCTACGTTCGTTTCAAGGTATGGATAGACTGTGGATTCAGAATACCGCGGGGAGCTCGACTTAGGCAGTTGAGCAGGGAGGTTGGAAGGAATTGTTGGCAGCTGGAGGTCTGCCGTTCGGGAGGAGAGAAGTTTGAGCTCATCTGATTGAATGAGCGGCGGTGGTTTCCCTTCACCTAGCCTGTAGATATTGTTAACACGGGTGACTACTCGGTCTGTGATGGACTATGTTTGAAGGGCTCCATATTCTCCATCCAGTCCTCACGTAAAGATTTATTTCGACTCACCAGCATCCGCCAGGAGCCTCACGACGCTCAAAAACCCGGATAATGTCAAATGCCTGCTCTTTGGCAAGAGCATCGATCGTGATGGCACCGGCTGGACCAAGGCCGATGACTGCAATGCGCTTGGCGGGCTTCCCTTCTTTCGCCATCTTTATAAACTTGCAGCGGTGGTTCTGGGTGGCTGTATGGTCAGAGGTTTGTCCAAAAGACACTCAAAGACTGATTTCCTGGCGTCTTATGATTGAAGAGGAGTGGTGAAGCGGTAATCGGAGGGATTCGCCATGAACCGTAGCCCCACACAGAGCTTTTCGCCGGGATTCAATCCTACAAACTTGGACTAGGAGATCGATGGCACACTCCGCAGAGCCCCTACTCTGTCGGTCGCCGCCACCTCTCTGTACGTATTGTTTTCTATTAATGTTGCTGTCTACGTAGAAGTGGGCACTGGCCGATAAACGACACAAACGGCCTTTAGCTTTGCAGATTGGATCCGATGTTGGAGAACCAAACATTCAAGCAAACAAGCAAACACAAAAGGCCAAGGACGAGGAGGCGGTTTCAGCTAAACGGAACTTTTCATGTTCAATGAGATTTTCAGAGGGCTTATCTCACGTCAAAATTGTAGACTCACGCTGTCTACCTTTATCTTCCGCCATTTAAAAGTTCAAATCCCGATAACAGTCAGTACTGAATAAATAGCTCGGGGTTTGTCTTGGCGCGATGGTGAAAGATTGCGTGCTCGGTAGGATGGCAGTCATAGCCATTAGACTGCAGACCAAAAGTGGGGAAGCTTCGACAACATCCAGCCATCGGTCGGGATGTCTAACTGAATCAAAGTGAGTTTGCCGGCATGGCACATCCTTAGACTGTGGTTTGGGGGCGATTGCGTGACGTTCCCAAGACTATGGCACCGGAATGGGTCTTTGAAATGCAAGGATGGATTGGAGTAACACTCGTACACGAAGTCTCAATATGCCTGGGGTTCCGTAAAGCTAAAGATGGCGTGAAGGATAGCCTCTGAGCTCCAAATGCCGAAATGAGAGGTTCGATGAGAAGTATCTGCCTTTGAAAATATGACCAGACCCCTTTCGCAGGGAGAAGAGACAACAGCTTCAGGTTTCAGTCATCCTGCCACCTTATGCACACGACAAAATGAGTGAGTCGAAGCAGGAAAGCCTGCAGTCTATTGACTCGCCAGGGCAAGTGACACCAGGTATAGAGCCTGACTGGACGCATCATGAGGAAATACGAGCTCGTCGAAAGTAAGTTGACACATGGCAGGAAGAGGACTCGCCGACAAAGGTTTGCTGACATTTCTGCTGTAGAATCGATAGCTCGGTGCTTCCACTATTGTACTTGGGCCTGCTTGTTTTCCAACTTGACCGCATGAATCTTGCAAGTGCGCTCACCGGCGGATTTGCGAATGACATCGGGGTAAATCAGGACACAATTAATTTGGGAAATCAGTTGATGTTCCTGGGAATCGTCATCTTAGAAATTCCCTCAAATATGCTCTTGCAAAAGGTAAGTGTGGTCTAGGTACTGATACATATGATTCTTATGTTCCTTCAGAGACCACGGTGCTGACAGATTGAAAATCAGATTGGGCCGCGCAAGTACATCTCTAGCCAAGTAATTCTGTTCGGTTTCGTCGCAACTATGCAAGTATTTCTAGTCGACCGCAAGGGTTTCTTGGCTTCGCGTATGATGCTTGGTCTTGCGGAGGCGGGCTACATTCCAGGAGCCTGCTACACCCTTTCCACTTGGTACACGAAGAAAGAACTAGCCAAACGCATCGCAATCTTGTCAGTGCCATTGGAGTGAGCAAATGTTATCTATTCTGACCCTCTAAAGCTTCTTCGGAATGTTTAGCGGAAACGCTTTGAGCCCTATACTGGCATCTGGCATCCTCAAGCTCGAAGGCGAACGTGGGCTGCGTGGCTGGCAGTGGCTTTTCCTAGGTAGGTTCCTCAGCGATACTTCTATCAATGGTTCAAGCTTACTGATCAAGACTAGTTGAGGGCGTGTTTACTATCTTTGTTGGGCTTTCGCTACTGTTCCTTCTGCCCGGTTCCCCAGACACCCCCGATCCGCTGTTGAGCCCAGGTCTCATCCGATTCAAAGGCTCAGAGAAGAGTATCATACAAAGGCGCCTAGAGGTAGATGACAAAGAGAAGCGTGGCGGCGCTCAAGGAATGCGAATTCCTCCAAAGCTCGTATGGAAGACTATTCTGCACTGGAAACGCTGGCCACATTTTCTGAGCAGCTTTGCCGTCTTCTCCACCTGGAGCCCTCTTACCACTTACACGCCTACCATCATTATGTGAGTGCTGGACAAAATGATTCAGGATTGCTCAAAAGCTTTCGTTTTTCTTTTTCTTTTGTACCATAACTTACACGTTGGATCAGGAATCTCGGCTTCAACCGCATCCAGGCCAATGCTCTTGCTGCAGTGGGCGCGTCACTCGCTTTGGTCGTCGTCTTCGTTTTTGCCTATATCAGTGACAAGACCAATAAGCGTGGATTCTCAGTAATAGGAGCTCAGTTTTGTTATCTGATTGTCTTGGTCGTTGCGCGCACGGCACACCCTCATGTGGGCAAGTGGTCACGCTGGGGGCTTTGGACGGCTGTGAACAGCTTCGCGGTTGGGTATCACCCTGTCAACAACTCATGGGTGCAACTCAACTGTAGAGAACCAGGCGAAAGAAGTATTAGTATTGCGTAGGTTGCCATTTTGCTTAGACCTAGCTCCCAACTCAGGCACGCTAATATTGAATAGGATGTGGGTGATGCTCTCCATCAGTGGGTTGATGGTCGGAACGCAGTATTATCGAGGGAATGATGCCCCATTGTGAGTACTTCAAGCTCCCAGCACTGCGGCAGTACAAGGCTGTTCAGTGATCATCGCTGATCTATCATAGTTACCAAACGGGTCTGAGAACACAGATTATCATGGTATCAGTGGGAATGGCATTCGCAGTTCTCCAGGTTGTACTCTACGCTGTTCACAACAAAAGGGTGGCTGAAGGAAAGCACAAGCCGCGGGATGGTGAAGCCCCGCGGATCTATGTGACATGAACAGGCTGGAAAGCAATTTATAGCGAAACAGACTCAAATACGCCTTCGAATTCCTTTGATATGCGCTTGTGAGCTTGTCCGACGGGCCTCCCGAGGATGTGGAACCCCGATTCTTTGCCCCGATCTCGGGGGAAGTCGACGATCACCGGGTGCGGGGAAATACCATGCAGCAAGGGGTGGCAAGAGTAGACCGGCCTATCAACAAGGTAGTCCTCTCTTTTTGTTTACCACATTGGGTAAAAGGTCATGACCTACCTTACTTTGACTTTCATCTACGTCAGCCCCATGAGCGGCAGTGGGGACCTTTTCTGACTTTCACGACCTGAGCCGGGACAGGTCTTTGCAGATGCTCTTTTGGTTTCTCATTCGATTTACTCAATGGGGAAGAAAGTTGACAATGCTCGGCAAGGAGAGCATATTGCCAAGTTTCAACACAAATTAGCTATATCGTTTCGAGTGAGCGCACATGATTTGTCTAGACATTTGGACCCGGGACGTGAGCAGAAGATATATAAGTATGCAGCTTTGTGCAAGATGCATTTCAGAGCTGTGCATCATCTGGAACGAGTCCAAGCCCCTCACGACCCAACATCCTAACCATCTGGCACTAAACCAATCTGTTCTGAAACCTGAGTTGCTACCTACGCACATACTATGTTTGACGTCGTCATTGTTGGAGCAGGTCTCAGCGGCCTTCAGGCTGCCTATTCCGCCCAACAAGCCGGACTTTCAGTCGCAGTCGTCGAAGCTCGAGATCGTGTGGGCGGCAAAACGTGGAGCGTGCCGCTGGCCTCTGGACGAGGCGTCGCTGATCTGGGTGCTGCCTGGATAAACGAGAATACGCAAAGTCGTATGGCGGAATATGTCAAGAAATTCAAACTACCGACAGTATCGCAGAGACTCAAAGGTACTGCCGTCATGCAGCTGGCCGACAGCAGTAGGGTCGAGTTTCCGTTCGGCATTATACCCGAGGTAAGTAAAATCTCTCCAACTTCGTTAGTGTATTCGTGTATACCATATTTCAGAGCTCACTCTCGTCTGTTCAGTTTTCTGTTGAGGAAAAGGACAACCTCGAGAAGATTCGCGACCATATCCAAGCCGTCTCTTTGAAGCGCGAAGCTCCTAGGAGAGAGGACGACGGGGTATCTCTTGACCAATATGTGCGAAGTCTTGGTGCTCTTCCAAAGACGGTGGAGATGATCAACCTATGGGCTAGAGTGATGCATGGAGTTGATTCCAGCCAAGAGTCAGCAGCTTTCTTCATTGACTATTGCCGACGCAATGGGGGCCTATTCTCGATTCGTGCTGATGATCAGACGGGTGGCAACTATCAGCGCTTTCACGGCGGTAAGCTCCACTCTCCGCAGGCTTTTTTTTACTTTGCTCACTTCAAATCCTCTTCATCAGGCACGCAACAGATCGCAAATGGCATTGCCAGCTTGATCGGAGAAAGCAACATCCATCTTTCGGCCCCTGTCGCTGCAATTGAGAATCATCAAACCCACGTTGTTGTCATCACGTCTAGAAACCAGCGTTTCTTAGGAAGAAAGGCCATCATCTCTGTGCCAAGCGCTATGCTTCGCGATCTTAACATCTCACCATTATTGCCTCAAAGGGTCCGGGAGGTCACCGACTCGTCAAAGCTTGGACACTACAACAAAGCGATCTTGTACTATGACAGACCTTGGTGGAGAGATCTTGGATTCAATGGTTTCTTCATGAGCTACAAGGGACCTGTCTGTGTAGCACGCGACACCAGTGTCGACGAGACCCAGAGCTTTGCTCTCACCTGTTTCGTCAACGGCAAATTTGGGGAAGATTGGTCAAAGCTGTACCCCCACGAGCGTCGTCAACTTGTTATAAAGCAGGTAGCCGAGGTTTTCAACGTCGACGTTGACTCGGAAGCGTTTCGTCCTATCGAAGTCTTTGATCAGATATGGAAGCACGAGCAGTTCAGCCAGGGAGCGCTTGCACCCATCACTGAGATTGGCCACTTCACAGAGTACGCTGATGTGTACGGAAAACCGGTTGGCAATCTTCATTTCGTTGGCACAGAGTACTCGACCGAGTGGAAGGGTTACATGGAAGGGGCGCTATGTTCAGGGGAGCAAGGAGCCAAGGAGGTTCTTGAGGCCCTCCAACGTGCGCCTCGGGCAAGTCTTTGACTCAGAAAACTTCAAACAGAAAGACCATGGTTACGAAAACTGGATTTGATAGTGTAGAGAACCGAATATATCCAAATTCAAGGGTTTCACATCGACACGTCTTGCATTGCCTACCTTATCTTACAGGATAATGGATAAACTTAATCAGTAAAACTCATAAACCCATTTCTAAGGAATTAAAGCCTCAGCGGTCGTTTATGGGCCTTGAGCTAAATGGTGATACGATGTGTGATCATGCAAAGTCTACTCCGCAGTAGGCGCACAATGCCACGTCGTGGACCCACCAAAAGGACCTTTTGTACTGTGGTCTCACCATAATTTTCGCGCCTGGGCAGTCAGTTGCGAAGTTGCGGCACAGCATGTGTAATTTAGGCTGCGACATGCTTCAAATCGGACACCGAGATATTTTCGGCATCCGACCAACGAGACCAAACCACCATGACCAACAGCCTTGGCGTGGGCAGAGGGGCCAAGACCTTAGCCCCTGTTGAGTTCATCACTAAATGGCGGCAATGGTTCCTCTATGCCTAGCCCTTCTGCAACTGGACAACACGAGCCCCTCTCAAAGCGTCCAAAACTCCCCCGTTCAGTTCGTTGGGGGTATATGAATGAGAGCTCCCCAACTCTAGGTCAGGTTTATGACGCCAGCAAACTTTGATGCGCAAGGTCAACTTGGAATCTCATTCGGTCTTTCGCGAACTCCCTCTTTCGAGGAACATTTTGAAACATGGAGTCCAAAGATTCGACAGCCGACTCCCCCAGCATTCCAAATCAATCCAACGACCCAACACCTTTTGTGTTTGACCAAACTGAATTCAACAAGTCGCTTGGCTTTGTCGAGGAAGTGCGGGTAGGTCAGGCCCCTTTTAATCGATGACAACCTATACACTAACTTGTGTTACTTTTCAGAACCGGTTCGAGGCTAGCCAGCCAGAGAAATATTCCACTTTCCTTGAAATTTTACAGGAGATAAACGTTCCGCCCGGGGATTCGATAGAAGAGTGGGAAGCTGCTCGGGCAGAGAAGCAGGCAGCGGCACGCAGCAAGCTGGAGGTTCTATTTAACGGCCACGCCGACTTGCTGGAAAAGTTTGATGCATTTCTCCCAGCCACAAGCACATGAACTGAAAATTGTGCTCCACACAACTTGGACATAGGGAGCGAGAACCTTGAGCATTTTGTGAAACAATAGACTTGATGGCTTATGTCTGCGAGTGTGGAGGTGTCAGGACTGCGAACACATGACTTTGGTTGTGGCTCACAACCACAATGCTAGTATGAGCTTTGTCCTGTATTTATTCAAGGTAAATCTAAGTACAAAGTGAGGAGTTTCTTGTAGTCAGGCGTTCCCAAACCGGTGACCGGGTCCCAGCCTGGTCCCGCGTGGAGTCCTTCAACACCACAGCCATAGTTCGAGCCCTCCACAATATCTGTCATGACTGTTGCATGAGAATAGAGAACCGGATTGACAAAGCCTACGGGTTTCTTCCCGACATGTAGGCGCGCATCGTTGATCTTCGTGAGAATAGAAGCAAAAACTGGCGCTGATGCGGAGGTCCCAAAGACAGTCATCAATTGGCCGTTGATGGCGGCAACGAAATTAGCCGCGTTGGATGATACATCGGGGACCCCACGTCCCAGTGGATTGAACTTCCCCGTCAAGTTCTGCAAGCGCTCATTGATATCTGGGCGTTGCAAGTAATGATCAATTGCGTCCTTCTGATATTCTGGTGCGTCAAAGAGATTGCTAAACCCGCCCCCAGAAGAGCTGATATGTGTGGCACTGGAATGACGAAAGACAACCTCGGAATCGTAGACTGAGCCATTTGCGCGAATTTGCGTACCACCGACAGAGGTAACGTATGGGCACGAAGCTGGCACTACGGGGTTGAAATTGCCATATGTCGACAGCGGGCCCAATGCTTGGCCAGTAGAAGGGTCAAGACAAGAACATCCTGTTCCCGCCGGACCGCAGTCTGCCGAAGCCGATATGACGCTGACACCCTGCGAACCGAGCTTAAGAAACTCGAGACACTGCCTTCGGAGATATGCCTTCGGAAAAGAGACTTCATTCCAGGCATAGGAAATGGACACAACGTTAGCTGGACGGACTGTGCCGAAGTTGCCGCTGTCTCGATTGCTGAAAGGGTAAGTTGGCGTCTGTCTTATGCTTTTTACCGACCTGTGGTCTATCATGCCTTCTATAAGAACTTTGATGAAGATTGCTGACACTATCTTCTTTAGACCATCATGTTTGTACGTTTTATCCAAAGCCACACGATGGTGCCCATCTCCTACTTCCTGATATTGGTACACTAACGAGAAAGCACCTGTAGCCTGAGTGCTCAGCGGCCTGCATTTTGTTCTGCATGTCGCAGGCTAACCCTCTCTGCGCTGCCACCTGCATCGGCATCTGCGCCTCGACGGTCGAGCCTGGTACCCCGATCGAGGGCATTGACGCCGGCGAGGGTGCCTCCTTGGTTTTCCACGCCGACGGAAAGGATTTGTCCGGGTCTGTCTGGTAGTTCGGCATATGTCAAGTTTATCGCATGATGTTTCCCACATACAAATTATCTTGTTCAGAACTGTATTGGGAGGTACACACATGCTTCAGATAGTATTATTGCTGAACCAAGAATAGAAAAGTTATTGATAAGTTCTGTGATGATTCGGCTTTGTGGAAAACGACCTTTGCGTTCTTTATGACAATTAGTGATATACACTTAGAGAATCTTACTTGACAATAACAACGAGGGATGTCTCCACAGAATTTGAACGTGTCATATGATAGGTACGAGCCTTTTTTCTTCCTGGAGAAACTATCATGTATCTTTACTCGTAAAGGACGCATTCTTTTCTCAACCAACATATGGTCATTTCTTTGCGGGCAACACTGCATGTCGCCATCCCAAGTCCTCAAGCAGAAAAACCTCAGGCGCTGCATCAAATCTAGAGGTATGACTAATAGTTGATATTTTCAATTTGAAAACCCGCCCGCGGCTCCTTGAGCTTGAGGCCTTTCTACATGATGAAAACCCGAAGTCTCGGAATAAGTGCAGGCCAGTCTGACTGAAGAGTATCCTGCAACCGAATACCTCTCAGAAACTCCAAAGCCTTCGGGATGTTCAAGAAGTTGTTACGATTATACTGCCTTAGTAGAAACTGTTCAAAGAATAGGCGCTGCTCAAGGGTATGACACTCGAGCGCAGCGATGAACGTTGGCCAGACAAGTATGTGTTCCCCTAGTGCGCCTTCTGGGAAAGCCTGCAGGCTCCGTTGGAACGTCTCGATAGCATCGATACATGAGGGGAGTAAAGGGGCTTCGTTGTCGTTTGTCAACACTCGACAGAGGTACATGTTGAAGGCTTGCTGGCGGATATCGGCGATAAGGTCAAACGTTGGACAATGATCGGGATACAAATTGTAGTAGTAGTAGAGACAGTCGAAACTCTCCCGCGCATGGTACAAAATTGCGTTCTTTCCGGCATCTTGACTGACCAGAGGTGCAGCGTAGACTCGCATTCTAGCATTTATGAGCAAGAGATCTAGCCAACAGAACATGAATACGAAGGCAATAACTTACTTGCGAATCTGCCTCAAAAGAAAGCTGCCAATCTCCCCTCCATCTGTGAGGGCCGCATCACCTCCAATAGCCGTTACGGCGGACTCCAGCATTTGGAAGACAATTGGAAAGTCTGGCATACCATTGACCATGACAGAAACCAGAAGCACAACAATGGCCAGAACGACGAGTTGTTTGGGCTCATCACTTCGATCAGCCAGGTCCTTGCGGTTAAGCAGCTGACTGATTGCTAAGGCATAGAGCCTGTCCGGATTGACTACGGGCTGTAGGATCGCCCTGCCCGAAAGATGGAATGCCGACACGGCAAGAACGGCGTCCATTACCATTGTGTTTGACCATGCTATTGGTAGGATCAAACGTCGCCAGCCGTTATTGATGTCATCCATTACAACCATCTCGGGGGCGATGGCTTCTGAAACTGAATCATATTAACAGCCAAAACTCAAAGAGGGTTGTAGAGAATGAAAGGTTGATGATAACGACAGTGAACCTTGAACTTACAATGGGTGAGTAGAAACTCTTTCCACGGCTCTAGCACGCTGAGGTTGACTGGCGATAGTGGCTCTGCAGAGACACCGTCGGCATTTGGCCGGGAAATTTGCGATATGATGCATAGGTCGTCGATGATAACCGAAGATAGTTCCTCTTTGTCATCGGCATGATCCTTACTGTTGGAGACATCGCATCTTAGATCTCTTTCCGAACCACCACCCTGACTAGGCCACTCGCCCCCATCACCGTAAGTACGAGCCGAGCTATTCCAGTACACGTCGTCCCAAGCTTGTGAGTCCCGAAACGGTTGAAGCACTTTTGACTTGTCTCTCGCGGGACCAGGCGCCGATGTCTGGGCAAGGGAATGCTTCAGCAACGCACTTCGACCACCAGAAGTGGACCTTTGTCGTGATGAGAAGCCATCCAAGAACTTGTACTTCAGAACGAAGCCGCTGCATGTGATCCCACGGTTTCTACACTTTGCGCAGCTCGGACGCGTGCCATCGCAGTCGATTCGACGTTGGGAGCATTCGTAGCACCCTATTATCCACAATGGAACTCATCAATTACTTTGTCCTTCCTTCAACGCTGGAGTCCGTCTCGAATGGGGATGCAGACATACCCTTGACTTTTGGAACATAATCTCGTTTCTTTCGAGCCATGAATGCTGTCAAGCATCAAGCCGCTCCCTTATCTCGGACATATCACTCTCGTGTTGCTAGGATCAGAAGCTTGTCCAGGCCGAAGTGCGGGGAGTTCGTCTCTCATTGTTGAGCCCCAAGGCCCCTCCGGACAAGGATCGGGGCACCTTGTCGCACTTTCCCCGCAGCGGTGTTGGCCGCGGTTCCTGCTCCGGAGATCGGCATGCTTTAAGCGGCCGAGTTGCAGTAGTGTTATTTTCCGCTTTCTGACGATGTCCGAAAGGAGTAATCAGAATGAAAGCACACATTCCCTATCAAAACCAGACCCGACCAATCAGATTTTATAGCAACGACCTCATCGTTATCTCTAGCTCTTGAGGAGCTGCTACCAATGTCTTCTGCATGATCTCGCTGCCAGTCATCTTGCCGTGCACTGAGACTGCTCGAACGTCGCTACCAACGACCGCTATCTTCTGACCGAGCGCTTCAGAGCATCTTGCGCGATTTAGATGTACTTATGGAGTGAAGGAAATAAGTCACCATCATTTGCAAGCAAAGCAAAGGTCAACCCAGTAGAGCACGGACTTCTCATAAGCTTTCTAGTCTTCCAAGTTAAGCTTTCCTCGCGACGACTCCTGCCAGTTTCTGGCCTGCGCTCCCTCGTATCCAATCAATTAGCCTTTTTATTGCACGTCTAGATCATTTCTCTGCCCCTTCGCCGAGATGCCGCAAACTACACGACCGAGACCCGAGATTACACGGAATCCCATAAAACAAGAATCCAGCCCAGAGTGGCCAAGCTTTCTCAACAGACAGACTTTGTCGTTTGTATTGCTATTCAAGTGCCTGAACGCTACCTTACATATCGTTTCCACGCAAATACTAACTCATGCTCTCGCTGCTTGTGTAGGCTACTCGCATCCATTGCCCTGAGAGCCGTCCGCTGCCATATCTCTTTATTCTTCTGCTTCGACTTTCGCTCGAGCCATTACTCCAGAGAGCACTGCAAGATTGTCATGATCTGATTTCAAGTGCGTCAGCCCTCACGAAACCACACCTGATGATGGTGTTGCAGGATATGATTGTTGAGATCGCACTTACGCCATTGCCTTGTCAGGGCTCAGCTTTGTGCGGCGTGCCCGTCCAGATCCGCCTAACCGCAATTATACCACATCGCCAGGAGCCTGCACTCCATTCATACACTCGCAGCGGCCGGGTTCACTCTTGAAAAGAGTCCGATAAAGTGGCAGAATGGAGATGAGGGACGCCGCCAATGTATTGCAATGAGAGGCTATCACCCAGCAGTCGCTTCTGAGATCGTGAGACCTGAAGCTGCCGAGGCAAACCACAACGATAAGCAGGTTGATGGTACTGGTCGCGAAGAAATGGGTCCAGGATATGCACAAAAGACTATGCTTGAAAGTACCATTGCGCTGTCGAAGCAAATCGTACATCGTGTTTGCGGCGAGGAATCCATTGAAAAGAGCGCCGACTAATCCATAGAAGAAGAACTCTGTACTGTTGTGGATGCCCTTGGCGTAGCTGTAGAAGATCACAGCGGCATCGCATGAAAACAGTATTACCGAAAAGAGAAACCAGAGACCGCCGAGGACCTAGGTAAGCGCTATGTATTTCTTGGCGCTCGGTGTCCAAGCTGCGATTGGGCCCGGTACTTCAGGTACGTCTGGTACTGCAGGTGCGCCCAAGGCTACAGGTACGCCTGGGTTTGCTGGCTGCATATCCCGGAGTTCGTATACAGGCGGGGGTGAGTTACTGTTGATAGACATGACGAAAAGCGGTGGTGTATTCGGGCCCAAGCGGGAAGGACAAATCGGCGCAGAACAAGATAGCGAACGGATGTTGAGTTTGTCGGATAGTAAGAGGCTCTCTGTTTTCTGACATATGTACAACGAATGAAGTAGTGTTGCTGGACCAAAAAGTCAAAGTTGGTGTTCGTGGTGTTGAATGTGGTCAGGAAGAGAAGTGAAGTTGTGGAGGTGGGAGGCGTAGGAGGCCAGTGTAAACGGTGGGTCATGTCAATGGAGGGAAGTGAGTTCTTCTGAAGATGGTGGCTCTCTGTGGCAGGAAATACCATTTGCTACTTCCTCCTTCCCGGGACTGCCCACGGGCTGATGCGGCAAGGGGTAGATTCTGTCTTGACGGAAGAGCCGACTTCTGCCTTTCTTTGGAGGAAGGTCCTCGTCCGCAACATTGGAAAGTGTCGTACAAAAACAGAACCGTAATTGCCGGCCAGCAATTATGCCTCATTTTCAACAGAAAGAAAGGCAACTCAAGTCCCCCCCCCCCCCCCCAAACCTGCCTTGCTATCATCTCCTGCCAGCGTCCCCTTCAGTCTCTCAAGCTTACGTGTGCTGCCTCATATGAAATCACAAAATACTGGCCAGCTATAGCTGAAGGCTCGGCCTCACCTCAATCAGTGCGAGCAAGTGGTCCTTCGTCCACAACAACCGTCTTCAATGAGGGGAAACTTGGCATGCTTTCGTTTTCTGCAGGACCCTCAAGATACAAAACGTATTACACCTACTCCAAAGCATTGGAGGCAAGTAGGAAAGAGATAGAATACTCAACAACGCTTTCCCTTGGGTAGAATTCGAGTTCAGAACAGATACGTATCATGACCCGAGTTATCGGATGAACGCGACTGAGATACGCAAGCTCTCTGGGTGGGGGAATGGATAGGTGAAGTACCCATGGAAGAGTCTGCCCCCAAAGACACTTGTCCCATCCTAATACGCAGCAAGTTTTTTGTTCAAGAATGTACGGAAGGCAGCAGCGGTGCCGGGTAAATCCACCTATCTAGGAGGGCGGACGTGACTTCTTCCAAGCACAAATAGGTAGGTAGGCACTGCGCTCTCTAACCCCCCGGCCTGCTGGTTAAATAAGAAAGGCACAGGTGGCGTATGGTACCAGATCGTGCTTGGTCAACGACAATCTGGATAAGATACAGGTAAAGTCAGGGTGGAGGGAATGGGGGAAGTCGATTGGGGTCGAAAGAGGCGATACTAAGGAAGAGACATCGTTCTCGACAGGGAGGAAGAGCTAATCATGTTAAAATGTTGTATTAGGATCGCTACATATCTTCACGAGGCCCCAAGTCGTGACGGCCGTGTTCAAACCATACGGAAAAAGAGAATGTTTCCCTGCGCCAGAAACTCCCGTTCGTGGCTTTCCATGTATTCCCCCCTGTTGTTCTGTTTCACACGGTTCAATTTATCCCATACTCCGGAAAAGCTCGTTGCTTCATTTCTTCAGCCTTGAGCAATGGTGTCGCGAACAATCTTGTTACAGTCGACGGGGTTCTCAAAGACGAACCAGTCATCGCGAGGGATGTTCTTGAAAGCTTTCTCGAAACGTTCTGGCTCGTTCTTTGCGGAGATGCCAATGGCCGCAATGTCAGTGACCTTGCGGATCAAGATGAGCTTGATCCAGCCCTTGAATTCGCGGTAGCTGTGATTGTTGATTAATGCCTGTTCAAAAGCCTTGAGGAAGGGAATAGAAGTACTCACATATCACCATAAGCCTCGGGGTCGGACTGCGTGGAGTCACCAATCAGGATGAACTTCCTCTTCGGAAGCCAGTCGTGCACCTTCTTCATGCGCTCCACCTTGTACTGCTCCGTGGCCATGGTCAGCGCCGAAAGCAAGCCTGCAACCGTCTTCCAGCTTGAATCGCGGAGAATGATGGACCCGGGCGGGTAGTACTTGTCGCGGAATTCCCTCAGGAACGGGTACAGGTTGTATGGGGAAGCCGAGAGGTAGAACCATGGCGACTCCTGCGGCAAGAGTGCTGAGATATTCCGGTACAGCTCTGGCATGCCCTCAATTGGTCTCGGTTCGTTGACAAAGGTCTCGCGGAGGATGCCGATTGGGTCGCTCGTCTGCGTCAATTTGATGGTGTCGTCGATGTCTGTGTAGTGCCGTGTTAGCAAACCACCATGCAAGGTCTGGGTTCTTATGTTGACGTACCTGAGATGATTGCCCATCCCTCTGGAGCAGCGAAGAACGTCTTCATCTCCAACAAGCCCGTCGCGCCACGCGGCACCGCTGCGCTGGACGTGACCGTCGAACCGGTGGGCTGCTCGTGGATCTTGAGTGTATCCGTAGTGATGCCATTCGACCCCGAGGGGCCCAGCTTAAGCTCCTTCTTCTGATGCACGACACGGAGGTGCCGCGCCGGCTGCACGTCCCACAGGAACGGCATGATCCGCTCCTCAATGGTCTTGCGCTCCTCTGCATCGTCCGAGAGCCCAAGCTTCTCGGCGACACCCTGCACGATATCGACCACCTTGCATTTCGGCTCCTTTTCGAAAATCGCGGCAACGAACTCGGCTTGCCAGCTGCCTAGACGGGAGGGCTTGTATGCTGTGTTGTCCAGAAGCCAGACGATGTCGTCGTCGGTCACGGGTTTGCCCCAGGGGTTGTAGCTGCCGAGATGCGACAGGATGCCAGTGGCGCTCGCGAAGGCCGCCTGCAGGGTCGGCACTGTTGGGTTGGGGAGCTGTGCCTCGACCTCGTCGAAGCGACGTTCTTTGCGGGTTTGCTTCTGCATCTCGTCCGCGAATGCCGCGGGGCTCTTGTCGTCGTCTCTAGCCGCCATGGTTTCGATGTTCGGCGCTGCCTACAAGTCTTTATAGATATGTCTCTCTGTGTGCAACCTTCGCCTCTTGACAATGAATCGACGGTCACTTGGTCGGCGAGGTAAGCAATGTGACTCGAAAAGGGTACTCCTGGTGCCTTGGCGACGAAGTGGTTGGTAGGCTGATGATTCAAGGCTGAAAGGCAGATGTGTCTCGAAGGCAGCTGTTCCTAGTTGACGGGAAACGGTGGAAGATGGTGGTGGGAGGTGCGGCACCTTGGGTAGGCGACCTAGAGCAGATGAATGGACGTAGGCAGTACGGGGTAATAGGCGTATGTCTCAGCTGGGACGAAGAATAGCTGGGAATATGGGCTTTCAGCTACAGTCTGCGCCAGCCATGAGCCGTCGGTGTCGGCGAGAGGGGGGTAGGGCGAACCGATGCATTATGTCAGAGCTAGAGGCGCTGGCTGCATCGTCTGTGTGGGAGGTGTCCGTGACATGGTTTAGGGCGAGCTGTGACAGGTCGGTCCATCAGATGGCCACTGGCAGACTGCCCAAGTTGGACGCAGCAAAGGCTTGGCTTAATATGCGCTTTCTGAACCCTTGTGACCGCCAGCCGTCAATGACCTAGGGAAGACCAGGCAATGACGATGGACCGATCTGCTTGTAGGCGAAGGTGTGTCGGAGGTGTAGGAAATGTGGAGGGATGGAGGGGTTTGGCAGTCGCAAGTCGCAGTCGCACCGTGACATTGGAAGGGGAAAGGTCGCCGGCGGGGGCGGGAGGCATCCGGGGCTCACCCGCCTTACCTAAGGCACCTTACCTCATCAGGCTCCCCTGGGAACCCCTTGCGGTTCGATGGCCGTCAACAAAAAGGCATGATCCGAAAATGTCCCGATTGGCACGTGTTCGCGTCACTCGCCAGGGATCCTCCAAGTCAAACAATCACATGGCGCTAGCTTTCTCAAAACTCAAAGACACAACAAACAACATGATAATTGTGGAAGAACATGGCAAAAACAACGGTCTTGTTGAAAGCATCGTGCAAAAGGGCCGTACAGCAAAAGAAATGTCCCTGGCAAGGCTCGAACTTGCGACCTTTGGATATCCCTAGATAATCTAGCGTCATATGTATATAATATGAGACCAACGCTCTACCGACTGAGCCACAGAGACTGGTTGATTGTGGCTGAGCAGAGCAGTAGGCAATCCAAGAGGGGCCGCTGAAAGCCAGAGTTGAGCAAGTCGGTCGTTTTACTCCGTAAATTAATCGCTTTTTGATTTAATTTCCCTTGCTAACACGAAATTTCTCTTGACATATTGAAAATCAGCCAAAATGCTCTCTCAGTTGTCGCCATCTTCGATGTCTCTGGTCGGGCTGGCCGGAGCAGGTATTTGTCAGGTTGTCAGACCGAAATCATGGGATACCTAAGTAGGCTACAGATAGGCTATGGCAAAGCCAGATCTTTTCAGGCGAATGTATCCGGTAATAATGACTCAAGCTTTGAAATACCGTATCCATATCAACCAAGTAGAAAAGTTTGTGCAAACTCGCATTTCTTGGCATCTTCTCATCCAGTTCATTTACAGAAAGCACAGCATCCGGTCGTCGATTAAGCCGCCTCAATCAGAAACCACAGTAATCACCGCAAAGATGACTTCAACCTTCAAAAGATCTTTTCCCATCACTCACATAACTACCGCCTCGGCCATATTGCATATAGATGGCATCAACTTCCTCACAGATCCCGTCTTCTCTCCGGCGGGCACAGAGTGGGATATGGGCCTAACCGTGCTCAAAAACACAAAAGGCCCGGCCACACAACTCGAAGACATCCCCGTCATTGACGCCGTGCTTCTACCTTAAGTCACGAAGATCACCCGATAACTTGGACGAACTCGGTCAGCGCCTTCTTGACGGCCGCATGGGTTCTCACGACACAAGACGGAGCCCAGAAACTCGCGCCTCGTCCTGGTGTCAAGGCTCTCAAGCTATGTGAAACTACGGTGCTTCGCATAGGAGAATAGGACTTTAAGGTCACTGGGGTACCGTGTCAGCATCTTCCCGAAGGTGAAGTAATTGGCTTTGTGCTGAGAGCAGCCACGTTTGGAGAAAGAAATGGCTTGCCCAACGTCATTTACGTCTCTGGCGACACAGTCTACCTCTAGGAGATCCCCAAAGTATTGTAGAAATACCACGTCTCAGTTGCGATCCTCAACATTGGTTCAGCGGAGGTTGCGATATCAGACCCTCCTTTGCTGGTCGCCATGGATGGGAACGAGGCTGGGCGGCTGTTTCGCGAGATTGGAGCGGATGTCCTGGTGCTAATGCATTACGAATCCTGGGAAGACTTTGCGGAGAACAGAGACCAGTTGAGAGTAATATTTGAACAGGAGGGCGTTTCTGACCAAGTGCGCTGGCTAGAGCTAGGAGCCGAGACAAAGATACTCTAAATTAAATAGTAATAATGCTTCATTGCTCCCAATAAGTCTCAAATTCTATAATCTCGAGTTGATATTAGGTATCACTTTCCATGGTGAACAGTCTGTAAGTAGCTAGTGATGCTACTGACCTAGATATCTCAAATACTCGGGTATCATCATAAAGCTCTTCCACAGGGCAGGGCTGCAGTAACCCTCGTTCTCCTCTTCTTGATGTCTGAAAATGAGCGCATGCCAAAGCAACGCAGCCTACTCTTTATGAGTATTGTCTACCTTACTTGGAGTCACACCCGTCTCAGCGTTGACAACGCCATGACCCATGTGTGCTGAGTGAACAAGGGAAGGATTCTCGGCCTTGAGCTTAGCAAACTCTTTTTCAGCCTCCCATGCCCAGATACTGTCGCTGGCAAAGACGAGATCCATTTCTTCCAAAGTGCGTTGATTTGATTCGGGATAAAGTGCCCAGACAACAACGAGAGATACGAAGTTGACCGCACCGAAAAGATACAGTGTCTTTTCGTTGAGCTTCTCAAAGATTGTAGGGAGAAGAAGCACCTGGAGACGGTCTCAGCAGGGGACAAAACAATAACACGAGGGACAACTGTCATGCACTCACCGTCCATCCGTTTCCTATCGACCATCCAACAACACCCCATGCATTGCCCTTGGCACGCACTTGGAGAGGGAAGATCTCTGCGGGATATAGCCAGGGGACCGTCAACCAAGTTGCACCGAAGACCGCGGTGTACAAGAATACGAAGAAGGTTGCGGCACCACCCAGTCCAGAACGGTTGCCAGGATTAGCGTTAAGAGTTGCTCTTGCCAAGCCTCCGGCACAAAACATGCAGATGCCTTGGGCTACAGCGCCCCAGTACAGGGTCCAGCGTCGTCCGATACGGTCTATAGTAAATACGCAAATCAAGGTTGCAAACTAGATAATGTCAGCTTTTCCGGCCACAACATTGAAGTGGGTAAAAACTTACCATGTAGGTGATGTTGTTCACACCACTGACCCAAAGACGCTGCTCAGAGCTGATGCCGGCAATCGTGAAGATCGTGGGACCGTAGATCGTGATTCCCGCAATTCCCACCCACTCTTGCAGAATTTGAAGCCAGATGACAAGTTGAACACGGCGACCGGTGTGCAGTTTGCCTGAGCCTATCCCGAAAAACATGGCAAAGTAACTCTGCTGTTTGGCGGTATCGTGTTCCAGGTTTCTAATGCTGATGATCTCCTGCAGCTCTGCTTCTGCAGCCTTTGCATCTTCACCTTCGTTTCCGCGGAGTCTGCCCAAGATGAATCTAGCCTCCTCTTCTCGACCTACTTTCACGAGCCACCGTGGAGACTCTGGCATGAACCAAATCATGATGAACAGAGCGATGAGAGGGATGATCTGAAAGGCGATGGGGAATCTCCAGATGAAGGATGAATTGGGGTCCTCATACTTGGACGTGCCGCTATCATCTGGTTAGGTGCCAATAATGTTGACTTGGTGTAGCAAACTCACAATTGTAGCCAATATGCAACAACAACACCAAAGATGTTGAGAGTGAATTCTATGGCAACAAACTTGCCTCTGGATGTATGAGAAGCTACTTCTGTTGCCCAGACTGGAGTGATGGCGTTCAACATGCCGGTGCCGATGCCATTCAAGACTCGTGCTAGGATCAGCAGTCAGGTCAGCGTCTCAACGTCAGAATAAAGATTGGCGACTATGCCAACGTACCACAAAACATCCAATCCGCATTTTGGGCAGCGGTTTGAAGAGCCGCGGTGCAGATAGACCAGATGCATGCTACGGCAATAGTCTTGAGGCGGCCATATCTATCACCGAACCAGCCTCCAATTAGGCATCCCACGAGCGTTCCGGGAAGGTAGTAAACGGCAACCTAAAAATGTGTGAGTCCAGAAGGCATTCAAAGCGGTTGAATAAATACTTACGATCCCGCCCTGCAACAATGGCTTATCAACAACAACAATCTTTTGCTGCTCGTCCCAGTGACCAAATCCCATTAACTCAGCATAGTTCCGTGCAGTGTTAACGCCGCCCATCAACCCTGTAGTACCCGTTATCAAACTTCTTTCACTCAAGCGATGGTAAGGGTTTCCACCTGCCTTGGTCGTAGCCGAAGAAGAACACGCTCAGAGAGGCTACGAAGCACACTGCATTGAGCAGCGAGCCCTTGTAGAGCCTGTTGGCGGCACTGTACTTCGCAAGGAAACTCGTTGGACTTGGCATTTTGGTCTACTGTCTTGTGTCTTTTCTGTCATGGAAAGTCGTACAAGCATGCTGCTGCAACGTCTGGAACACAAGATCAGCAGAAAGAGTCCAAAGAGGAGGTTGAACTCCGGAGAGGTCATAGAGGTAGTACTTATGTAAGATTTAAATCTAGATACTTAATTCCGAGGGTCCATTGCATCGCCTTTACCCCCACCCATCCCTCCTCCAAGTTTGCTCTCCCCACACCCCACGTTTTGAACCGCACGTATCCCATCGACTCTACGGGAACAACAAAACCCGGCGGGTGACATCATTCCAACATCCTACCAGCGCATTTGCACCATAACAACCTTCAACGGCGGCTCCGCACGAGTCTGGCGCTCACTCAACCGATTCCCGGCAGGCAACATACCGAACGACCGCAAAGAAAGCTCGGGGCGTTGGCCGGTTTGTCGCCGAAGCCTGCAGGAAAGCTTACATTGGGGGTGGAGACTTGCATGTTTTTTACCCAGCGGCTGATCCGCCATGAGAGGGACTGAGCACAGCGAGCGGCTGTAAACGGGATTATCATTGCTTTTTGTGGCATGATCAAGTGACGTCGAGTGAGGAGCCAACCCCAGGTTACACCAACAGGCCAAGTCCCAACGGACAGAACGCCGCATTGCTCCTTAGCATCGCACGATGCCATCGCCGGCTTTTGCTCTCCATATACCAGGCTGATGACTCGAACTTACTGTGTAGGGTGCCCGGCTACCTTGCATGCTCGTGACAGGGACCCAAGGACTAAGATCTTGAAGGATCGCTCCGCATTGCCCCCGTCTTAATGACTCAGATACTCCCGATGATCGGTCATCTATGCCGCCTTCCTCGGGCCTGCTCCGATTCTCCGACTTGTCCCTCCGGGGCCGGAAGCAGCACATGAGTGCCTGAAATTGACCGCGCCTAGTCAATGCCTGCAAGCCTATGTGTTGGCAATGGTGAAACGCCATTGAGCTTCGCGATGCCAAAGTGAGAGTTGGGTAAGGGAAATGATATAGGCAGTGTACTTTTTGACCATTGGTGGCATCTGTGTGAATTCTCACTAATTCATGCAAGTTGTGTATGTCAATTCCCGCCAGGTAGGATGCATTTCTCTTCTTACTTGTTGCCGCATTAAGGGACAGTGTACAAACGTCCGTTAACATTCCCAGTACCCAATAATTCGAGCCCCTTGCCGACATCCTCGAACGGAATCTCCTTCACGAACGGTCTTATCGACCCTGATGCGATCAAATCCAACACTTCTGTAAACTCTTGAATGCTAGCGCTCGTCGAGCCCTTGAGCGAGACATTCTGCGTGACAATCGCCGTCGTCGTGATTTGCACGCTCTGTGCCGCAAGCCCCACCAACACCACACACCCGCCAGGCCTCACCGATGATATCGCAGTCTCAACCGTCTTCTGCGCTCCTGCAAAGTCCAAGATAACATCGAATATTTCGCCTGAGAACGTGCTCAAGTCTGTGGCACAGTCGACAGCACCGGATTCCTTGGCCTGTTCAAACTTGTTCGTGTTGATGTCGACGCCAAAGACTCTAGCACCACGGTGTGCCGCAATCGCTAGTCCGTTCAACCCCAAACCGCCTAGACCAATGACAGCAACCGTGTGCGATGCAGATACTCGACCCTCCGTGACGACGGCGTGGTAGGCAGTAGCAACGGAATCCGTAGCCACAGCAGCCTCGGCAAACCCCACTTGATCTGGGATCTTGACAAGATTCTTGATGGGAGCGACAGCATATTCGGCGTATCCACCGTCGCAGCCGACACCTAGAGCTTCGTGGAAATTCCTCTCTTGGATTGGATGGCCTACACAGGCAACAGCTACCCTGTCATCGACTTTGAATGATGTGAATGAAGAGTCGCCTAGCTCAGTAATGATACCAGAGACCTCATGGCCCAAAGTCACGGACAGCGCGCACATCCACGCTGCGCCGCCGCCGTAGAGGACGTGGGTGTCGGAGTGGCAGAGCCCGGCGGCTTTGACGCGGATGAGGGCCTGTTCGGGGCCCGGAGATGGAATGGGGACATCTTGGAGGGCAAGGCCCTTGTCGGGGCCGAGGAAACGGAAGGCTTTCATGGTAGGCCGAGCTATTGTGCGCAAGAGAGTCTGGAAGCTGAAAGGTCCTGTCAATTGTCTTGCTACTTCTTCAAGCATCGCTACCGAGCTCTTTTGTAGTTCTACATCCGCGCCGCTATCAGACTCAACGGGCATCTTGATACCTGAGACAAAGCAATCGTGAGATTGTCAGTGGATTCGCTGCTGTTAATAAACGATGATTCATAATGAGTTCAAACCTTAAGTTGCGGGATGGCCATATAGGGTAATTACTTGTCCAGGCGTACCAGGGCACCCTTGATTAGCCCAGGCTCGGCACTTACCCACCTCAGCATGGAAGTGGGCAGCTCCAGCGATAGAAAGTGGCAACAAGGCACACCGGCAGAAGTGGTGCATCTATCTAGGCAGTACGAAGAGTATCAGCTAGGTAGATGCATGCAAAATTGCCAAAGCCAAGCAGATGTCGAAGCGACCCCAAAGGATCCAGTGGTCAGTGATGCCAGACACCAAGTCATCAATTACTACTCATATTCTCAAGCTGCCCATCCTTCAATAACTTCATAGCTCACAGCATAGTATATCTGTGAGTAATACTTGTGCTGGCATCGACATCAGCATTCAGGGCGTCTCTGAACTCCCCTAGAGACAAACGTCTCTTTGACATGCAAGACTCAATGACTTCGGAGTTTCGTCTGAGCAAGCCCATGTTGACTAAACTGAACGGGCCTTCCTGATCAAGTGTCCCCACAGCGCTCGCCCAATCTTTGGAGGCATCGAATCCCTCGGGGACTCCTTTGCCAGTCGAACCGAAGGAGAACATGATGATCGTTCTGCAGCCGTCGCCATCACCGCTCTCGCGAGCTTCATAGCTCAAGGAGTAGCCTCTAGCAATCAAATGACTGGCAATAGCGGCAACTGCGGCGACGGTGCTCGGGGAGGTGGGGGGAAATGGCCACTCAACAGAGCCAATCCATTCAGCTGTCGCCGCTTTTCCGCCATCAGCTGGAGCATCCCAGTCGATAGACTTTGCGAGCCCGGGTAGCTTGTCACTAAGACTTGCGGTTAGCGAAATCTCGTTCTTGTCAATAGGGGTTAATAAGCTCTCACATCAGAGATTGCAGCCCATATGAACTCTCAGCTACAGTGTTTACTTCAGCCATGATGAGACTTTGCGGCCGTCGCTTTTGAGCAGCATGCCAGGCTACAATGTTAGCCTGGGTGGTGTTGTACGTCGCTGTAGGTTTCCCATCAACATCGACATGGATGCTAGCCGTAGGACCGCTGACCGTGGCACAGAATCCAAAGTCTATTTTGCAGGCTCTGGTTTCTCTGGCAATGTTCTCGAGATTCAAGTCCTCGTGGATGGCTTGGTTGAAGATGCCGATGAGGAACTGCGAAGTAAGAGACCCGTAATAGCTCCCGCTGGTTCCGCTAATTCCATTTCCAAGTGATCCAGCATGGGCAATCATGGAGGACTGATCCATCATTGATGAGCCGTGAATCAGGTCTTTTGGTACGTTCAGTTTAGTAAGATTTCGGGAATAGTGACTGTATCACCGATACTAGGGTGGCTGGTTTGTTTCTTACCTCCGGGATAATGAGCGGTCTGGAGATGTAAAACATCTAGCTTTAGACAGGAAGGAGACGAGACCTCCACTCCATCTATTGAAGAGAATCCGCTTCAGTAAATGTCAAAACCCCGACAGTCTTCCAGGTGCAACAAACAAGTATGATCGGTGTCGTTCTTAATCTTGATAGTAAGTGTACGATTTCTTTGACAAGCGGAAAGCCAAACGTCCACCTTGACTCCTAGCAAATCTTGCTCATCGCCAACTGGACTGTCAAGACACGATTTAGAGAAAGTCCAGACTGCGATATGATCTCCTGGTTGATTGTAATCATTATGGAGGTCGATCACATATGCCGGGGACATGATGGAGGCTTCCATAGGTAGAGGAACTTGTCGGTATAGAGTTGTTGCAGGGTCGAACTCTTGATGGCTCATGAGTGATGTCCTGCCTGACGCAAACAGAAACCGGACGGAGCGGACCAGCGGATTATATATACAAACCCTTTTCTGACTGTATCTTGAGTTAAGCTCAAGTTGGAGAGCCCCCCTGAAGAAATCGAAACCTCTCCGTCGCCGAGTGCAATTTGGCCAGTCATCCAATGATCCACCATTCGCTCAGTAAGTAGGCGTATTTAGGGTGTCGAATCCAAATTTACGGTGATGATTTTAACCCCCGGCCATACTAAGCCGGGACATGGCATGCTACCCTGCTTCCAAACCAACGGCATGCCTTTTCGACTAGTACCCTTAGGTAGGAAGCTTTAACTCATCTCTTGAGACAGCATGATTTGAACACAACCTACTGCATGTCTTGAACAATTTGCAATTTGAACGGGAAACATAGCACTGGAAATGTAGATGCTGAAAATGTCTTGGCATCATCGTCGCACATAGCACTCTAGCCACATCAGTTGAAGACGTTGAGTCTCAAATTTCAACCTCTCAACGCGATGAGCATCCAAGTTCTGAACTTCCTACTCACGGCATTCTACATCTCAGACACAAGACTGGTGAAGTCGTCATTTCTGGGACCGAGAAACCATCGAGAGTCTAGCAGTAAGCCAATGGGAATCAGGAGCACGTATAAAGGGTCTTACTGCAGAGCCTGGGGAACAGTTCACCCAGCCACATAAAGACAGAATAAAAAGGGCCGAATCTCTTCCTGGAGTCTCAGGGAGGTAGACGGTCCTGACGTCTAGCATGTCTCACTAACTTCCCGAAAAGCAGCACGACCCCGACCAAAGTAGGAGTCTGAATGGCTGTGGCGTAAGCAAGACTGTACTGAGATAGGAAGAGGACCGGAATTAGGAAAGAACGTTAAACGACGTATGCTTCTATGTTTGGACCCCACGGGGTCGAGGTGGCGCATGGGATGCCCCCGGCCCGGGACCCGGGGAGATGGCACTGGGTAATACTAGGTACCGTAGCCGTGGCGAAACGATGCAAACAACGTTCCTCGTTGTCTGATGGTGCACACGATTGTAACGAGCTAGGAACTCTTGTTTCAAGCGGTCGATCTCTCACTGGGGCTTTCTCTAAATCAGGCAGACTTGACTGCATCGTACTTCACCTTTTTGCATTTGAATCCATACGGCATCGGGGCGAGGCCGCGATATGGCATAACATCCTTGGCGCTTTTCATAACGCGGAATGCTGTGTTTTTGCGCAGGCCTCTCTGCATATTTGGGTCTTTCGTCATTTGTCACACCCTATTTCAAATACGTTTTACGACAGGCACCTTTACTGGGCGCTTGCTCCGGTATGGATATAGCCTGATTTAATCTCAGCCCTATGGTGATTAAAGAGTGGCTTCGAGGCTATGTCTGAAGATGTTGCATTGTAAAATTGAGAGAAATGTTGAGCTTGAATAAATCAAAATGTGTTGGATTAGCTTTCAGTAGGGAGAGACAGCTTACAGCCTCGGCCCTGTTCGCCATAACATGCGAGTGCAAATTGTACTTGACACCAACGATCTGGAAGCTTTAACCAATCTACTTCAAAACCACGGAAGCGGATTCGGCAATGTCTGTGACCAATTCTCAAATAAAGGGAACATGGGGGTTAGAAACAAGTCTCAACCAGTGCTGTTGGCTCTGGAGGATAAATGACAGCCGGGGGTGTCCAAAAGTAGGAGTTTTACATCCATATCCTTTCGGTGAAAAGTACCTTTACATGTAGATATACTCTCTCGAACGGATTGTTTTCTGTGCTGGCACCACAGTTACCGCAGGAATGCCAAGGGCGTGTATCCGAACGTCTGCGGATATTCAGAACTCCAGCCTCCATACATCCTGCGAAAGCGCTTCATGGCAGTTGAACCCAGCACCAAGCTACGTAGGGCGCTCACTTTAGGTGTCCTAGACCACGGGTTCAGCCTGAATGGCACATGCACTGAGTCATGATGTACATGTCTTGGAAAACTAGCAGTAGAACGCGGGTTTCCGCCTTCTTTGAGGTTCTCACGTTCCTCGCATCCCACTCTCATGCATGGCCAAAGCCATGGTCTCAGCCCTGTATGATCGTGCCCCCCAGCCCCATGACTCGGCCTGGGAGACTCATAATCAAGTGGCAAAGTATCTGAACGGTCAACGTTCAATTACTTTCCAGCCCTGCGGCTGAGACAAGACATTTCACAAAATGTCACCGAAGGACCGCCGAAGGTATCGCGCCATGGGCTGACAGGCGTTGAAGACGTGATATACTTCTGCAAGGGTGCGATGTGAGACGGCTCTGCTCCTGCATTCCACTCTACCTTTTCACGCCAAACAACAGTCCTAATTCGGGGTAAATGCACCGAACGTCTCTTGGTTCATCAGAGAGTCTGCTGAAGACCACATTGATAATCATTTTGACAAACTTGACACACCTGTAAGTAAGTAGTTAATCTTAGCGCGCCAGCATTAAGCTAGGTACCTAGCTACCGCGGATTTGACCCTGCAAGAACCATGTGGAGAGCTGTCGGCCAATCAAATGTTCACCTATCACTTACTTGTCAGATTCTCTGACGCAACGACGGCTGACTCTTTTCTTTACCCCGCCCTCGAAGACTTTGAACAACAATGGCGACGGAAGCAGAAGCAGTGAGAGAAATCCAAGGGCTGTGTCCCTACCGATACTCTGCGTTACCTTCAGAGAACTCTATTCGCCTTTTGCAGATCTTCCAGGATAGTTCCTCCGCACAAGGCTTCTTGGCACGACTAGAGACCTACGAGCTTGATGATGCGCCCCCATTTTGGGCGCTTTCATACACATGGGGCCCTTCGGAGTTCGATGAGGGGTCAAATGCTTCAGAGAAAACAGAGACGCAGTTTACTCATTTAGTATGCGATGGTGGGCGACTCCGAGTTGGTCAAAATCTTTTCGACTTTCTACGTCAGTTCAAGAATGACATTGCTTTCTACGCAGAATCATCAGAGCTCGGACGCCAATCCCGTGGAGCTAATCATTCGGATCGTTTGATCTACCCTGAAAATGGCTATAACCTTTGGGTCGATGCTATTTGTATAGACCAACAAGAGAGCCAAGAAAGATGCCACCAAGTCCAGCTCATGGGTCAAATCTACGAGGCTGCAAGAAGTGTGATTGTCTGGCTCGGCACGACTGAGCCCCCCTATGAAGTCTACTGGGTTGTCAGGTGTTTCATACCAAGGATATTGGAAGTGGCCCGGGCCGCAAGCAACGCTGACTTCCTACAACAAGTTGGGCCGGAGTTAGATCACCCCGAGATCATACAGTTGCTTGGCAAGGATTTCTGCGATGAGTGGCGCAAGTCATATCCAGTGTACTTCAACTTCTTCCTCAAGAAGCGATGGCTCACGCGTGGATGGGTTGTCCAGGAAGCAGCGATCCCTCATTCTGAGGATATTGTGCTTCAGTGCGGCAGGGTCCAATTCGCCTGGTCTGACATCAACAAACTGTCTGCCTTCATTCTTCGGGTGCGTTGGGATGAGAAGCTCATACACACACTAGGCGAACTCCTCCCGGATTGGAAGAAACGCCCTGGCACGATAGACCGTCTTTGGAACTCAACAAAAACTTCTCTTTCGGCATTCAGACGTGAGAAGGTTAGCAACGGGATGGCTCATTGGCAGAAACAGCGCTGGGGAGCTACCACAGACGAAGCTATGCGACATGCTGAAGTGCTGCAAACTCTCCACCGGCTGAGGATTTATAACTTCGAAAACCCGCTGGACCATATCTATGGCGCGCTGGGAGTCATACAACGCATCCTGGGTCGCAATTATCAGGTTGAGGTGGACCCCAGTTACGATGTCTCCGTCGAAGTCGTCTATACCCAGGTGACGACTTGGTTGATCAAACGTTTGTCCAATCTCGACATTCTGGGACTAGCAGGCCTGACTGAAGGCCGCCTACCAAATCTGCCGTCGTGGGTTCCAGACTTTTCATCTCATGGGCCTGAACACTATACTTCTCTACAAAGACTGAGGCAGCTGGCACGAGGGTCGGATTTCCCGAGAACGTTCGATACCACCAGCACTGCAGATGGATCGAGCAGCCACGGGGCCCGGAGTCATGGTTCCACTGCTCTCGTACTGGAGGGGATCCTAATCGATAGGGTCTCAAAGACCCAAAGTTCGGAGTTCGATAGGCAGAATATCTTCAGCAACGCAACATGGCTACGCCATCTGAGCAGTCAGCAGAGTGTTTATGAATCAACAGGAGAGAGTTTTATGGATGTCGCCGTGTCGACACTGATTGCAGATGTCAAATTACTCAAAGACTCTCAAGAGAGTCGAAGAGCGTGGGTACAGAAGTGCATAACCTACGATGATACCATGAGCATGGGAGATGAAGACATTGAGAATTCAAGAATGGTTATGCCGACAGAGACATCCACCCAACATTCTAACATGGCGATTCCCGAAGACTCTTTATCAGAAAGCTTGATTAAAGATCCGTTATCAAAGGTGGTTCATTTAATTGCTTCTGGGAGACGGTTATTGGAGACAGAGAAGGGCTACCTTGGGCTTGGATCAGCGGCCTCCGAGGTCGATGACGAAGTTTGGCTTATTCGCGGTAGTCGTATGCCGCTATTGCTGAGGAAAAGCTCAGCCAAGAATAGCTACGACGACGATATTAGAGATACGAATGGCGAAAAGTATGTGTTAGTTGGAGAGGCATATGTCCATGGGATCATGTATGGAGAGTTGATGACCGACGACTTCATCTCACGCTGCCAGACAATTTCCGTCGTCTGAGCAAGATCAACAGTAGTCCCAGCCACCAAATTTACTCCATAAGACCAGAATGGGTGGCGAAGAGATATCAGGTTCAGGAGAGTGGCGAAGAGATATCAGGTTCAGGAGAATTCGACCCGGAAAGCATATAGCCCCAGACATGGTAGACGAGCCCACATAATGTTTCTTTGGGTAATCTGATGTTAAACAAGACAGCTTATACAGACTCATTTGTAGAGGTTTGCCGACGCTTCCGTCTTGTTTCGAAGTGAAGTACTGTATCGCGAGAGTAGGCCATGATTTGCAATGAGTTTGGCACGCTGGCAATCATGCAAATGCTGCCACGAGATTTGTACTTGATCACTTGTCATGCCACTGAGGTCCCGCTCAACAATATGCCGGTTTACTTTACTGCGAGCATTCTCTCAACATCTTTTGCGGTGTAATCCGTAGACGGCGTTATCTGCTTGATGCCAGCTACAACGATTAGCCCATGAAGTCCCTGATTTTCGTCTCCTATTCCAGAGGCGGTGTAGTCTTGTGCCTTCGTGTCAACCACGTCCGCTTATCTATAATGAAGGGAACCTCCCCATTCTGGGATAATACGAGCTGATACCTACGCATATTTTCGTCAGACTCTCTTGCTGATCACTTCCCGAATCATAGCTTGCGGGACATCGTGCGAATATTAAGCAATCGTACGACGTCATTCTGATGAGAACGTAAGAGACCTAAGGTGTCTTATCCTCTACAAAGTAGTTTTTGCAGAGAAATTCCATTACACCTTTGTGTTTCCAGGCACATCCCGTGATTCACGTGAGACCGGTCGTTCGCGAATATCCTCAAGCTCGACTTGAAGCACCTTCTGAGCATTCTTCTGAACCTTGTCCTGCACATCTTTGCCCTCGAACATGAAACTCAGCTCTTCAAGGGTGCGGCCTTGAGTCTCGGGGAAGATCATGTAAACCGTCAAGATCTCCACCAAGATCCACACACAATACACAATGTAGTATTTCCAGCCGATGGAGTCGAGCGCAATCGGGTTGACATAGGTGTTGAAGAAAACGGCAAAGCGGACGGTAAGTTGTTCTACGGCAATTCCCTTCGCTCTATATGTGATATTAGCCTCAAAAGTTTCCCTGGAGTATAGCAAAATCGATGTGAGATCCCGGCTGAAGAGAACAGCAAAGCCTTACCTTTGACTGAATGGGAAAAGTTCCACGAGATAAGTGTAACTGCGTAGGGTTAGCGGTCTGATCTTCGGGTTCATCCTATGAGATAGAAGAAAAGAAGGGGTAAGGGATTCTTACGCAAGAGCATTCCAGCCAATATTGTAGAACCTGTGACGAGATAATAAGCGGTTGTCTTTAAGGACAAGATTGTAGGGCCATCAACTCACGGCGAATAAACGAAAATGAAGACCAGAACTGGGATAGCAGCTTTTTGGGATTGCTCGATGGCGAACCTGGCCGATGCGACGGTCCAGACGGTGTAAACACACGCAGTACCGATCGTGCACGTGAGGAACATTTTTCTTCTCGCAAAACGTGGGGCTATTAATGCGATCGGTACGGCGTTGATGAAGCCTTACCGGGCTATTAGCATGAACACCGATATTCGCCCGCAACAAGACGACTTACCCCAGCACGTGTTGCCCAAAATGAACTTCTGCACAGTGTGGTTGTCCGTGATACCAACAAGGTTGAGGATTTTCTTCATGTAGAAAGAAATCAATCCGTTGCCAGACCACTGTGTGAAGAAGCCCATGATGCCAGCCAACATGAAACGACGACGCATGGCGGCATCGCGGAAGACATCGGCCCAAAGGAATTTACTGGCGACCTCTTTCTCTTGCTGGATAGTGGATATAATCTGAGCATACTCGAGACGGACAAACTCTTCGCCGTTCTCCCCTTCGCTGTGGTACTTGCTGAGAATTGCGAATGCCTCGTCGCCACGGTCTTTTGATATCAGCCAGCGAGGCGATTCCGGGCAGAAAGGCATAAAGACAATTTGACAACCGCTGGGTACGAGTTGAAGTAGACTAGGAATCCTCCAAGCCCAGGTAGTGCTCATTTGGAAAGTGCCGAATGTGATGCCTGCTGCTACGATGGCCCCTGTCATCATTCTACATCAGCAACGTTCTCGGCCTGGGTTCTCGTTTGGTAGGGTTTGATTCATACCAACAAACCAACTAGCGTTGAACAGACTTCATAGTAAACAAGTTAGCAAGTCGCATCTTATAATAACAAGAAGTGATTTCAGCTAACCTCGTCATAATTGGGCGCTCCTTGGCATAGGAAAGTTCGCCGATGAGCGAGGAAGCGTTGATGATGGCAAAGGGGATACCAAAACCCAGAATCCATCGCGAGGCTAAGAACATATCGACGTTCCTGGACCCAGCTTGGAGCCCAGCACCCAGAACCATGATCCATGATCCCATCAGAATAGTTCGTCGACGACCAAGACGCTGACTGAAGTAAGGGACGAATGGGATGGCCATCAGAGCGCCAAGAGAGTAGATTGCGCTAAGAAGGCCAAGCCTTGAAGAATTAGGACGACCAAAGTCTGATTTCGGATGTATCAGTATTGAGTTATCGCGGAGGGTTACATGTTCTATGGCGAGGCTTTCTCACATTCGAACCAAGACGAAACAGCTTGAAGACTGTTCATCATAGAAGAATCGAAGCCTGAGGTCCACTCAACTCCGAGCCCGGTTGGGATGAGAATAAGATAGAGGAAGCGCAGGTTCGGCTTCTTGTACCAGATCGTCTTGTCATTCTGCGCAATTTGCGACAACTGAGGGTCGACATGATGTTCTTTGGCCCCGATGATGGCCATAATTGCGATTGGATGGATGGCAGGCCAATATGCGCTTGGACAACGAGATGAGCACAGCTCCAGTTGTTCTAAGCCTGGGAATCGTGACGTTCATATACTGGATGGACGTTGTGCCAGTTCCCTGGCTCTTAGGTCTCTGCGGCGGAGAGGGAAACCCACACCTGTTCCAGTCGATCGATTCCAATAAAGATGGCGAGAAATCAGACCATCGAATCATGGTTCACGGTTTCTCGTTGGGGTCGGTTCATAAATTGCTGCCCACCCACAAAGAATCCAAAGTTCGTGTGCGGGGTTGCTGTCCGGGCGGGTAGGGATTCCGATCTCAAAATCCGGGGTAAGAATGACCGAGGCAGCGCCGAAAAACAAGGGTCTCCGGGACTTTGAGGTGCCTTTGTCGGAGATTTATGTTGCCGTCTACCACTTTTGTCCACAAAAACATGTCATCCATCAACGAGACGTAAGACGAGATACAGGCTGTATCCAACATGTACGTTACAAACGCACTCGGAAGACGTCTGACGAACCGCTCTGATCCAATTTTGTTTTCTGCTAGCCAAAGTTGAGGGTGTGGTGCACCAATAATAAGCCAATCTTGGCGGACATACTCCGCTCCACGTGCTGTGAATCCATCGTGGGTGGGCGATGGCACCTCCATGTTTGCCCGGCCAGATTGCGCCTAGATATCCTGCCAATCTACTCGACCTTGATGCAACGCTTTACTCCGGTCAACACTGGCACCAACGTCTGGATGGCATTTCTTACGTGAATGAATGAGATGTGACAGGCCAGCATCGACTTCTATTTGACACTGACCTAGAGTAGATTAATCCTTTCGGACGGGAAAGCATATTGCATTTTCACTTTTGACAGCAAAAGAATATCAATATTCTCAATCAGCGAATGCCGGAATGTACCACCCCTCTTCGAATACAGTACTCTAAAGCACGTATTCGAGCTCCCAACTCCATCTCCAACAGACACGATACGCTGTGACGCTTTTTTTAATTCAGGTACAGTACCATTTAAAGCTACGGACATTTATATGAGAGGCAGTCTGATTGAGGACTCAAGTTGCAAATGCCATCATGAAATCAACTATAGCATCCAGGAAAGTCTTGGCGAGGTTCTCGTCAAGACGTCCATTGTTGAAACAGATAGAAAGACTAGTCTGACCTTTGAAACTGTCCATTCGAACAAGCCTAGATTCCAAATAGTTAGTGACAATGGTTAAGAGTGAAGATATCACACGCTTGAACCAACTGTGCTCGACAGATCAAACGAAGCCAGGAATTAGGATATTGGTCTCCTTACACATCAGAGGAATAAGTCGTCAGGTGGAAATTGCAACTCTCCACGGTGTAGATCATTTCATCGCTGGAGCCGAAAACGTCTCCTGGAATGTAGTTGTCGACTATGCCATCACTGACGAAGGCCTTGACGTTGCAAGACGTGTTAGAAATGCCCCAAGGGTTATTTCGATGAAGGCTGTCAGTGTTTGGGACTTCGTACCGGAAAGCTTGTCGGTGAGAAGGACGAAGGCGCTCTAAGCAGAAGAGCTTTAGAACCAGGGAAACATTGAAATTGAAAATGGGGGAGGGAGATTACTCACGATGCCAGAAACCCCGCTAGAAAGTTGCTCTTAACCTGGTCTATGACCAATTGGAACTCGTTCTTCAGCCAATGCTGATAGCTGTTTCTGACATGATGAGCCAGGCTTGCGAGTGTCATTCTGACTGCTTCAGGATTTCTCTCATCGACAGCGTACGATCGGAGTGGTGCAAATTCCACCGACGCGCCCGCCTGACACGACCCATAACGAATACTTGCATTGCTGCCACTTGAGTATCGCCTCCCGTTGACTGGCAAGGGCGAGGAAAGAAACAGGGCGTCCGAGGCATCTCCTGGTAAGGGGCTGACTCGCAGTAATGCAAGCACCATGGCGGCATGGCCGAGGTGAGTGAAGGTGAACTGGGGTCCGAGCTGACTCTTTATGGCCTTCGAGATGGCCTGACTTTCGTCTGTAGTAAAGGTTCTCTATATAGTTCGAGGTGTGCCTGTAGTATTCGTTACAGGAAGCCCCCAACTTGTCTTCGAGGAGTTAGTGACCACGGAAACCATGTTCGCTTGGGACGGGCTGTGAATGGTCAAGCCGCCAAGAATATGCAGAACTACTCACCGCACTTCTGAGCAACTCGGTGATGAAGTCATCTCGTGCCTTGTCATAATCTTCTCCTAATGCATCCACGTTGGTTTTGCATGCATCGAGGACCGGCTCGTTGAGGTTGGCAATTTTCTTGCCCCAAGGATGATGGAAAGGACTGTTTGCTAGATTCTGGTCGCCAGCGTTGAACTATTGGCCAACACCGCGCAACAAGTCACCGACGAATATGCGCGAGCTGATACTGTCCCAGTGAATATGGTTGAATGCACAGAGCACGTCCACTCGAGCGCCATTTTCAAGTGGAGTGCCTGTCTCTGGCACTTGAGCTACGACATAGACCTTGACCGGGGGTAACGGCTCAGGTCTCTCTTGGCGCGCCTCCGAAAGTTCAGCGGCAACTTCAAGCCCAGTTCTATCCGTTGCAATTGATGAGACAAGACCGCGGCCCCAACTCAAGGCAACTTCGTCGGAGCTCGGTGAATCATAGACAATGAAGGGAGGATCTTGGTCGGTAGCCCAGGTGACGGAGCATCCGACCTCAGGGTGTTGGAGTCGAATGTTGACAAGGGCGTTGGAGATTTGTAGCGCGATAGTTTCTAACGAGATCCCAGGAACATGAACTCGGAGAGACGTGTTCAGGTAGTTGTCGTACTGACCACGAGAGTTCGGCTCTCGTAAGCCGACCAAAGCCTCGGTGCCGACAGCGAGACGCCTCACAGAGCTGGGTCCGTCTGGAGAAGGATATCAGCGGAACTTAGCCGGCTCTAGACGAGGTAAGGGTGGGAGAGACATGAAAGTGTCAGCTTAATAGCTGGACTACGAGTTGTGTTATGTATTTGAGAAAGAAGGGCAGTATGGCGGTGGAAGAACAGAGAATCAGAAATAGTTAGCTAGTGATATTGCTAAGCCTTCGAGGCGAGGTAGGATGGACGTAGGTGTGGGGGACAGGTGTCAGCTTCATGTCCAAATGTAATCAAGATAAGCGAAGTTCAAGTTGTTATCTCTTGCCCGAGTCTGACAATTTGACGAGGTAGGGTCTTCGGGATACAGCCGAACAAAGCTTAGCGCTGACTGCGTAGACGCACAACAAGCAAGTTATCTTTGGCCCTCCTAATGTCCATAGCCGCCATTCGAACATTCAAGTATATGCAAAAGCATAATCTCTGAGCAACGGGCCTAAACAGCTACTAGGCGTTCCATTTGGATCGGTCTAGAGCCACCTATTCTTTTGAGCCGTCACAGTACCGTGTCCGATATCAGAACGATATTGTGGGGTGGGAATTCCTTTCTCCCTCATATTACTTACGTTGCGTAACTAACTTTTACTCCGGCCATTCTTCTGTCCTGGTAGAGACGAAACCTCGAAGGTCATGTCCTTGCGAATGCCTCGAACAGGTGCTGTGCTTCCTTTCTCCGAGACGCTGTCTTCATCGAGACGCGTCCAGTCTCCCTGTCCTGCTTCGTCGTCCTCGTAATTTGTGCCTTTGCGTATCTTGCTCTTGGATGTCACTCCTGAGCCGCCAATAGTAACAAGCCCAACTGACCCCGGGTGGAGGCCATGAGATGCATCTGTTTGACCCAAAGTTGTAGGTCGTGGCGAGCGACGGTGCATGAAGAATTGACGTAAAGCAGGGAGGGAGCCGGCGATGAATCCAATGGCAGTCTCGATATTGGACCAAAGGGGGATGTTAGCAATGTGGACTGTTAAGCGATTCAAGTCAGCAACTACTCTACTCATGGCAGACCAATGGAAGCGTCATACAGGCAAGATCGTCTAGTGGATGGTTGTAGTGATCGATGTATGGAGTACGTATCATGGTTGAGACTGAGGCACTACTCATGTGACCGAAACGGTAGGAATTAGCTATCAAGATCATCTCAGACAGGTGCACTGGGCAAAATACTTACAAAGAGCCGAAAGAAAGGACGAAAGAGACCATGATCTTTGTCGAGAGCTTCATTTGTGTCTGCCAGAGAATGATAGCCGGGAGCACGGCACAGGCAAGGTCGGTAACGATGGTGCTGACGGTTGAAGTGTATGACAGCGCCAACATAGAGCTTACTGGCGAGCACTCGCCACGGCCCTCTAACACGATGCTGGTATCCCAATTGGCTTCCACAGGTCGGCATAACAAGAGGATCCCGACGAAGGTTGTGAAGAATGTGGCGACAGTAAGCCCCATCAAGATGTAGACGGCAGTGCGTAGCTTTGGCATTGTAGTAGCGATCCGTAGTGTGGTGATGCAAATCGAAGTTTTGATCGTACACAATACTGCCACGTAGAGCATCATCCAAATCATCAAATATTTCATCGATTCGACCAACATGACTGGGCTGAGGTCTGCATTGCGCGTGCCCAGTCCACTCAGCGCTCCCATGCAGGCGAGTGCGACATCGACGAGGTAAACGACCTTCAGGCCTAAGTCAGCATGGGCGTAATAGGGAAAGCAATGCTCTAAAGTCCTGCGAGAAGGTTTTAAGAAGATTAAGCTTACCAAACCACCGAGCATCAAGCCGTCATCCCAACTAAACGTCTTCGCCCGCAGTCGAATGAATGTCCTCAGGCACACCACAATCAAAGAGACGACGCCACCAACAATAGAGACCACGAATAGGCTGAGGCCAACGCCCTCAAGTTGGTAGACAAACCGTCGGTTAGGGTCCTCTGTTACCATGTTGACTTCAAGTAGCTCTGTCTCACAGTCTTGGCTCTTAGGTTGCGATGGGCTTCGCCGGGGACAGCAAGTCACCAAAACAAGTGACTAGTGGACGATCGTGTAGTTGCCGGCAAGAAAAAGCCAAACTTCGAGGCGAACAAACTACTCCACAGAAGTGAGCA